CACCACCAAAATCTAAGGTTAGTAATAATTCTCCTGCCACAAATGAACAGAACTGCTAGATAGATTTATAACAAAACTTATTTTAAATTCATAGTTGAGCTCACAAGAAAGAAAGGGAAATCCCTATATAACAGAAACGAAGATAGAAGTGAAAACCAGACCAGTCAGTATGTAACCTGACAGACAAACTAAACTTGGGGTTATTATGTTATTGTTATTTTTGAGACAAAGTCTCATTCTGTTGCCCAGGTTGGAGTGTAGTGGTGCAATCTTGGCTCACTGCAATCTCTGCTTCCCAGTTCAAACGATTCTCCTGCCTCAGCCTCCTGAGCAGCTGAGATTACAGGTGTGCACCACCACACCCAGCTAATTTTTTTATTCTTTTAGTAGAGATGGGGTTTCACCACGTTGGCCAGGCTAGTCTCAAACTCCTGATTTCAAGTGATCCACCTACCTCGGTCTCCCAAAGTGCTGGGCTTACAGGTGTGAGCCACTGTACCCAGCCATGAACTTGGGGTTATTATTTTTATAACCTAGGGATTGGTTCTTATCATCCAGGACAGAAGATAGTCTAGGAACCTACCAACTGAGAAATTAACAAAAACCCCTACATGCAGGCCAATGTTTTCTCTGGAGTTCCTAGTTAATATAAAACCAAAATTTCTGTGTAGATGGACATCTACAAGGAAAGGTCTCAAGGGAGTCTCACAGAAAAAACAATGCTAGTAAAGATAAGTGCACAATTAAATGTTAATAAAACACAGAAACTTCACTAGGGGATAGAATCAGAATACAAAACAGCTGAAGCAGCCTCCTCAAAATGTGAAATTAAAAAATAATAATCTGAAAGAGAATATAAAATGTGTATAGTTTTTTTTGTTTTTTTTGTTTTTGTTTTTTTTTTGAGACGGAGTCTTGCTCTGTAGCCCAGGCTGGAGTGCAGTGGCCGGATCTCAGCTCACTGCAAGCTCCGCCTCCCGGGTTTACGCCATTCTCCAGCCTCAGCCTCCCAAGTAGCTGGGACTACAGGTGCCCGCCACCTTGCCCGGCTAGGTTTTTTTTTTTTTGTATTTTTTAGTAGAGACGGGGTTTCACCGTGTTATCCAGGATGGTCTCGATCTCTTGACCTCGTGATCCGCCCGTCTCGGCCTCCCAAAGTGCTAGATTACAGGCTTGAGCCACCGCGCCCGGCCAAAATGTGTATAGTTAAAATGAGTAAAGACACATTCAAGAAGGAATCAAAATACTAAGGAAGAAAATACATCAAAAGCCTGGCACAGCGGCTCGCATCTGTAATCCTAGCATTTTGGGAGGCCTAGGTGGGAGGATCGCTTGAGGCCAGGAGTTCAAGACCAGCCTGGGCAACATGACAAAACCCCATATGTACTAAAAATACAAAAACTAGCTGAGTGGTGGCATGCATCTGTAATTCCAGCTATTCGGGGAGCTGAGGAATGAGAACTGCTTGAACTCAGGAGGTGGAGGCTGTAGTGAGCCGAGATCACGCCACCGCACTCCAGCCTGGGGGACAGAGCCAGACTCTGTTTAAAAAAAAAAAAAATTACAAAAAAAACCATGTGAGTTTCTGAAAAAGAACAAAATAGAACTTAAAGAAAAAAAATGAAGGGAAAAAAAAAACAATGACAACAACTCAATAGGTAGTATTAAGTAGCAGCTAAATAATTTATGAACTACAAGATATTTACCCAGAGCCCACTATATGCAAGAGGGGTTAAGCAATGTAGAGGAAAGAGGAGGTTATGTCTAATAAAAAGTGAAGAAGGGGAAAATAGTGAGAAATGGAGAAAGAATAATATTTGAAGAGATAATGTATGAAAAATCCCCAAAATTGATGAAAGATATCAACCCTCAGATCAAAAAGCACAATTCATGAGCAGAAAAACTAAAGCTGAGTCTAGATACACTATTATAAAAATACAGAACACTGAAGACAAAGGGGAAAATCCTAAAAGAACCAGAGGAAAAAGGCAGATTACTTTTAAAGGAATAATTAAAATGATTTCTCAACTGTAACCACAGAGGCCAACAAAAAATTGAATATTTTTACAGTGCCAAGAGAACAACTGTCAATCTAGAACTCTATGCTCAGCTAAACTATCAAATTAAGGGGAAAAACTTCTTAAAGACTGACAGTTTACCACTAATAGTCATTCACTGAAAAAAGCTATTGAAGAATATACTCCAAAAAAAAGAAAACTGAACCTAAAGAAGGGAGGAGTGGGATTTAACGAGCAAGAATGAACAAAAAAATTGGTAAATATGTGGGCTTATGAAGCCACCATAATAATTATTACTCATTTGTGATGATTTAAAAACAAGGTAAAACTAAAATATTAGACAAAAGAAATAATGCAGATGGGAGAAAATAATTAGTATTCAGGAAAAAGGTAAAACAATTCACATTAAAGTTATGGTTTTTAAACTCTGATGTGCATCAGAATCACCCAAAATGCTTGTCAAAAATAGACTGCTGGGCCCTACCCCTCAAATTTTTGATCCAGGTCTCGGGTAGAGGCGGAGAGGCATTCCTAACATGTTCCAAGGTGATAATGATAATGGTGCTCCAGGACCACTTTGAAAACTAATGCATATGATTTTAAGTCAAATAAGTACGTTAAAAATTAAAAGGTAAACCCTCAAATAACTAAAGTAGAATACAACTGATCCCTGAACACAGGTTTGAACTGTGTGGGTCTACGTTTATGCAGATTTTCTTCCACCTCTGCCATCCCAGACAGCAAGACTGACCCCTCCTCTTCTTCCTCCTCCTCTTCAATATGAAGAGGACAAGGATGAAGACCTTTATGATGATTCATTTCCACTTAACAGAAAACATATTTTTCCTGTATAATTTCTTTTCTTTTCTCTGGTTTACTGTAAAAGAACACAGCATATAATACATATAACATACAAAATATGTGTTAATCAACTGTTTCTGTTATCAGTAAGGCTTCCAGTCAACAGTAGGCTATAAGTTCTGGGAGAATCAAAAGTTACATGTGGATTTCTGACTGCGTGGGGGCCTAGTGTCCCTAATCCCCATGTTATATGGTCAACTGTATAACCCAAAGAAGGGAAAAAGGAGGAGTCAAGAAAAATAAATCCATCTCAAAAAGGCAGGAAAGGAAAAAAAGATGGCAGAAATAAATCCAACTCAATTGAGTAATCACAATGAATATGAAAGGACTAAATTCACTGGTTAAAAGACAGACATACGCTGGATAAAGAAAATTCTGCTATACGTAATTAAGATGGTGTGCGAAATGGCACAGAGATAGATAAAATGACCAATTAAGTAGAACAGAGAACCCAAGCCAACCCAGGCACATAGGGAATTCTGATATATGACAGAAATGACACTGAAGGTCACTGAGAGAAGGACAGTCTATCAATAAATAAAGCCAAGACAACCGGTTATTCATAAAGGAAAAAGTTCAACTTAGAATACTTAAATGTACTTGTATGTGAAAAGCAAAATTTAAAACTTTTAGACAAAAATATAGGAGTAGGGAAGGATTTCTTAACAAGACACACAAGGAGCTAACCAGAAAAGGTTGCTAAATTCAACTAACTCAAAATCAAATCCAGTGTCATCAAAAGATGCTAAGTAAAAAAGATAAGCATAATGTTTGAAAAGACTTTTGTAATACATATAACTGAAAAGGAATTGAAATGCAGAAGAGATAAAGAACACATTTAAATCAATAAGACCAATAGGGCCAGGAACAATGCCTCACACCTGTGATCCCAGCACTTTGGGAGGCTGAAGCGGGAGGACTGCTTGAGCCCAGGAGTTCGAGGTTACACTGAACTATGATTGCACCACTGCACTCTAGCCTAGGTGACAAAAAGAGACTGTCCCAAAACACACAAAAAGACAAGACTGATAATGAATAAACAATGATTCATCATCTTAAACCCATGAGGTTGGCAAACATTAAGAAATTTATAAAACCAATGTCACAGGATCCATCAAAGAAACCCTTATAATACCTGCTAGTGGTATAAACCAGTAAAGTCATTTCTGGAAAACAACATTATTTTGTAAAATTGAGCATACTCTGCAATGTACTCCCACAAATATAACCTTACACCTTTCCTCCAGAAGACATGACAAGACCTGAAAAAAAACCCCAAATGTCCATCTATAGGAGAATGGATACACTGTGGTCTATTCCCATAGTAGATTCTGTAAGTCAGTGAAAATGAATGAACTATGGCCACAAACAACATGGATAAACAAAAGCAAATCCAAATAAAAGAGCAAATCCTAGAATATTGTATCATTTTTAAAAAGTTTAAAATACGACATATATATGATAAAACTGTTTTTTAAAAAAGCAGAGAAAGTAAAAATCTTTGTCACTGGTTACAGGGAATGAGGATGACAGAAGGTTGAGATAAGAAGGGAGCATCTAAGTGGATGCCAATTAGTGATAATGGTAGATTGGTTAAAGGGAGGTAGTATCATGAATACTCCTAGATATTAATATGCTTTATATCTTAACTTCATAACTTAAGCTAGTGTGTGTTTACATATGTACATATATTTTTCCATTGCATGGTATACATAAAATATCATATTTAAAAAGAAAAAATGAGAGGCCGGGCGTGGTGGCTCACGCCTATACTCCCAGCACTTTGGGAGGCTGAGGTGGGCGGATCACCTCAGGTCAGGAGTTCGAGGCCAGCCTGACATGGAGAAACCCCGTCTCTACAAGATCAGCCCGGCGTGGTGGCATGCACCTATAATCCCAGCTACTTGGGAGGCTGAGGCAAGAGAATCTCTTGAACCCGGGAGGCAGAGGTTACAGTGAGCTGAGATCGTGCCATTGCACTCCAGCCTGGGAAACAAGAGTGAAACTCCGTCTCAAAAAAAAAAAAAGAAAAAAAAAGAAAAAAAGAAAAAAATGAGAGAAAAGATTACTAAAATATGTTAATATTCACTGCAATAAGAAAATCCCCAGTCTAATACTTACTGGTCAAGAGTCTTATAATAAATATCCAGATCCTTGTTCACAAGTTCTGTTGTCCTCATAACAATCATCATTTCTCTATACTTTTCCTCAGCGTCCCGAAATTGTGGTTCTCGAAGTTCTTTCTTAAAATGAATAATTTCTTCCTCATAACCTTTCTGTCGCCCTAATGCCAAACTGTGATTTCTTTTTATATTGTCTATGTTCTCTTCCAACTTCTGATGTTCACTGTAAAAAATGAAAATGACAAATGAGGACCATTTTTTAGCTTTTAACAACCTGAAGTGGAAAACTCATAGATTTCTTTAGACAGGTTAAGTATCATTCTCCTTAGGAATTGTGTAACAGAGTCTCTCCTTGCTTATTATTTAGGGCTTTGGTACTAAAAAAAAAAACCAAAACCCTCTCTTCCTTCCATATCTCTGCCCCACATAGGTTGCTAAACAGCTAATTTTTGTGTGTTGAACAGAGAACCCTCATAGCATGTTATCACTGATAAAGTTCCTGGCCTTTAGACGCTAAGCACTCTGGTGATTAATATTACAAATTCACAAACTTCTGATTGTGAGCTGAGAATGCACAATTATCAACACTAAGAAGTTATGGATAACAGGCTTCATCATTTTGCTCATGTCAAAGGCATAACACGAATTAAATCATATATTATCTGCAGTAATACTTATTAAAAATCTAGATTCCTCCATGAAAACAAATTTCTCTTGCCCAAGTATAAAAACCATAGTAATGACCAAAAGAAGTAAAATATTCAAACTTTTCTGATAATTTGGCAGATTGTACAAATTTCAACGTTTGCTTTAAAAATCTTCACTTGTTTAACAATCACTTATTAAGCATCCTCATGTGTCAGGCACTGCTCTCAAGTTTATGGGCATCCTTACAGAGTTGACTGGATTACATGTCTTGTTGGCATTTCTGTTATGTCCTGGTTGAAGAAAGGTTTGAAAAATAGTTGTACTTAGTAATGTGAATGAATGTAAAAAGTACTGTTATATACCAATCACAGAAGAAATTTTTTAAATATCTGGTTTTGGTCTTTAGTAGCCACGAATATATTATTTCATTTCAAAATTTCTTCTAGAAGCATTACTTTTCCAACTTGTCATGGAAAGCATAGTGTAAAAGAACTGAGGCTTGGAAACTAGCATATTAAGGTCATATTCTTGGCTTTCATCATAATTTCCTCTGTGATTTTTCTGGGTCTAAGTGTGTATAATGCATTAAAAAAAGAAGATTCTGAAGATGATGAGCTCTTCTAATTATAAAATCTGATTTCCCCGATATAGGAAAGAGATTTTAAATAGCTAAACTAAGAGTACTTAAACATAACACAGGATTAACCATTTGTTAGGCTTTATAAATAAAGTTAAAATTCACTTTACTATATCCTTTAGAAAAACCTGAGCATTTTTTTCATTCAGATTTCCATATAAATTCAAGAAGACATGAAAACTCTACAAGGAAAGGTTTAATAAATGAGAAGCCTGGATTTAACCAGGTGAGATGGTTCGCAATCTACGTATTTGCCTAGTACAACCTTTTATACCAGTCTAGTGCCTTAGCATCAACAAGGTTCTTACAGAATTCCTAAGGCAACTCTAAGGCAGTCAAGGCAGGAATAAAATCTTTTCTGGTCTACCAGGAAGGCAGCAACTACAATAAGTAACCATAAGACCAGATAAAGGAAGAATGAGACTCATCTTTCAAAAGAAATGCTCTGGTGGACACATAATTACAAATGAGAAAATCTAGATAATAAATCACGTGTGGATAAATAATAATACGTGTGGATAAATCACGGGCAACAACTCCACTGACAATATTATAGACTGTACAATCTCTGACCCAGGCAAGGTCCACAGCTCCATATTCTTTATGCTTAGTACCACTATTTTGTGCAGCAGGCTAGCAGATGTATGGGGACTAAGCATGTTCAATACTGAATAACTAAGGCTCATCACTACAATGTGATTACCAATTTTATATCACTTCTGCAGTAATAAAGTTCTTAAGGCCATGAAATATAATCGTATCAAAACACTGTTCACCTTCTAGTAACTCTCAAAGGATACTAGGCTGAGGCTAAAATTCATTTAAAACAGGTATTTAACATTCTTCACATTCCAATAATAAAGACTTTTATTTAAACCGAAGATTATTTTAAAAGCATACTTTTTCATTTGCAAAACCTGCATTTGACCCATTTCCTTCAAATGTTGTTTTCTTTCTTCTTCAACTTCTTTTAGTTCCTCATTTCTTTTTCTTAAAGTAAGGTTATCCTGTAGCCACCTTTCTTGTATCTAAAGGTAAACATTAAATTAGTTAACAAAAATACCCAAGTTACTAACGTGAAATCTGTAACAGGCAACTGCTGATAGGAAGTGCCATGTCTGTCTCTCTTAGAATCATGTGAAGTTCAACAGAGGGAGAACAAGCCAGTGTGAAGGAATCTCCAGGTCTGGGGCAATCTGGATGGCCCATCCCCATCCATAGTCACAAGTGTAATACCTCCTGTAGTACAGCTTTTACTGCTCTTTCACGACCATAATCTAAAAACCAGGTCTACTGTTTGATGGGGAGTCTCACAGTGATGTGAGCATATATCTATGTACTTATTTACTTATACAGTATTAAAATATTTAGAAAAAAATGCTATGAAATGGTGTTTACTTAAAAACATACAAAACAGAAATTTTAAATGGTAAAATTAAAAATATAACTAGATATTTTAATACCTGTATCCCCAGTGGATCATTCTGCATAGGAACCCCATGATAAAGCCTACTGACCTAAAAGATCATAAGAGATCAATACTACTATTGATGTCTTCCCCAACTTTTTCTTCCTAGTTCTGTCTCCCAACATGTACCAAGACTATTAGAACCTGTGAGGTATATGTTACCTATAGCTTCTACCTTTAGGCTGACAAATAATCATCACTAAAGGCAAGAAGAAGTGCCACAATAGTACAATATATCTATGAACTTGATATTTTCTTAGCCACTGAAATGAAATTTCAAAAAATTGGCTGTTCTTGTTGAGTAGTTTTGTCCTTCAGAAAAGACTCAATCACACTTAGCAGCAGCAGCAACAACAACAAAATTATTTCAGTGGTTTTCCTGGTGATCAAAACGAACTATGGTGTCAAGAGACAATCATTAGAAAACAGTTTGTAAGTTGATTCTTTGGAATTAAGGAAAAAAAAAAATTCCTGCAGAAAAAAATTGGTCCACAAATCCTGTGTGTAGAAAACTTATCCTGAGTTTGGAGTAAGGATTTCTCAAAGAGGGAGCTGGGACCCTCCTGCAATAGCCCTTGCAGCTAAGTTAAACTCAGTGATGCGGGAAGTGAGAGAGATAGACAGACCTGTGGCAATATCTTGCACCAACAGTAAAGGCCAGGGACTGGTAGATGGGAGAGGGAAAGCAAGGATTTCTCTCAGAAGCTTAATGTTCATATCCAATTCTGCCCATCTGTGTGTGAATATTTTTAGAGTTTTTTTTTTTTTTCTTTTTTAACAGAAAGTAAGGCTACCTTCATTTTTCCTGGAAATAATATAAACATACAGTTTATCCATAGGGTCCACATCTATGGATTCAACTAACCATGGATCAAAAATACTGGGGAAAAAAATACAATAAAAAGTAACAGTACAATAAAAAAACACAAATTTAAAATAATACAATATAAAAACTACATATCATTTATATATTAATATCAAAAGCAATCTAGAAATTAAAGTATATATCACAGGATATGGATAGGCTATACGCAAACACTAGATATGCCATTTTATATAAAGGACTTGAGCATCCTAGATTTCGGTATCTGTTGTATTGGGGGGTCCTGGAACCAATCCCCCCCAGAGATACTGAAACAACTGAATACATATCTACTAAAGGCATTATTATAGGCAGTTAAAGGTGACTAAAATGGCATGGTTATAAATGTCCTTTGTTGCTAAGGCAACCTAATGTGTCACTGTAGCTGCTGTGACTTACCAAGGTTCTACTATGGGGGACTATACTTGTTGTTCCTTATTAGGAACAAGGGAATGTGCTACTACTTACTTTCATCTAATACCATAGAACATTTGAATTTGCTTTCACGATTGCATGAAAGGATTCTTTAAAGTGCTATCACATTTCTAGATGAGATTGATTTTTGGCACAAAATATTGTTGCTGGTCTATCTGCATTGTTACCAGAAAGCCAGGCATTTCTTTTAAGTCAGCTTCCATTATTCTTCTAGTTTTCAAAGACAGTATATACCACAACAAGAGTACAATGCTTCGAAGTCAGATACATCTAGGCTCAAATCAGTGTTATTACTTTTAAACTGGATAACTTTGGGCAAATTAGTTTAAATTCTCTGAACCTCAGTTTGCTTGTAACATGGTCAATAATAATACTACCTATCATAAAGAACTATTGTGTGGCTGGGTGCGGTGGCTCACACCTGTAATCCCAGCACTTTGGGAGGTCAAGGCGGGTGGATTACTTTAGGTCAGGAGTTTGAGATCAGCCTGGTCAACATAGTGAAACCCCACCTCTACTAAAATTACAAAAATTAGCCAGGCCTGGTGGCACTCGCCTGTAGCCCCAGGTACTTGGCAGGTTGAGGCAGGAGAATTACTTGAACCCGGGAGGTGAAGGTTGCAGTGAGCCGAGATTGTGCCACTGCACTCCAGTCTGGGTGAGAGAGCAAGACTCCATCTCAAAAAAAAAAAAAAAAAAAAAGAAGTATTGTGAAGATTAAAGGTATGAGTGTATGTAATCAATATAGTGCCTGACTCAGTAATCGCTAATAAAATGCCTTTTGGGTCAAATTTGTCCTTTGTACTTTTAAGCAGTGAGAATTCCAATTATAGTCTACAAAATATAAAATATTAGAGAAAGGGAGGGGAAAAAAAAATCAGATGCAATTATAGTGTACCACAACTATTTTTTCCATTCTACTAGAAATCTGATAGTGTAGGCACCAGTTCTACCTGTTACTACTTTTTGTGACCTTGAGCAAGTCAGGTCACCTCCAGTTCTCTTCATATATTCCTTAATCTGAAAACTGAGAAAGGCGGTTTATTAAGTTTCCAAATTATTTTATTCTGTGGACTAAATTTAGCAGGGCTTAGATCAGTAGGTAAACAAGTGACTGCTGGGCTCCTCAGCTCTTAAATATTAACCCCAATTATCCAACTCAGACGACAGTTAATGCATGCAGCTGGTCACCTATGGAAACATAAAAATTAGCTGCATTCTAGACACCTGTGAGAGAGTGGCATGCTGAACAGATTACAGTCCAATGTCCACCAAAAGTCTGGCTGGGAATAACACCACTTCTAGAAGACTGCCTGAAAGCTATGCAGTCCATCCAGTGCTGGCTCAGTTACTGACAGCTAAGGGTATACATCAGAAGCTCTAAGGAATTTCAACAAAACACACATATCTCTGCCGAAACCCCCAAGATTCTGATTTAGTGTTGTGGATTGGAGACATAGACTTTTTTTTAAGACAGGGTCTTGCTCTGTTGCCCAGGCTGGAGTACAGTGGCACAATAAGGGTTCACTGCAGCCTTGAACTCCCCAGCTCAAGCAATCCCCCCACTTCAGCCTCCGGAGTAGTTGGGGCTACAGGTGCGCACCATCACACCTGGCTAATTTTTTGTAGAGATGGGGTTTCGCCATATTGCCAGGATAGTCTGGAACTCCCAGGCTCAAGCAATCTGCCTGCCTCGGCCTCCCAAAGTGCTGGGATTACAGGCATGAGCCACTGCACCTGGCCAACACATGTATTTTTAATAACCTAAGTGATTTTAAAAAAACTGAGATGTAATTAATATTCCACAAAATTCACTATTTAAACGTGTACAATTTAGCAGTTTTAGTTTATTTAGAAGGTTATACAACCATCACCACTATCCAATTCCAGAGCATCTGATCACCCCAAAAGGAAATCTCATATTCAATAGCAGTCACTCTATTCCTTCCTCACCTCTAGCCCCTGAAAACATTAATCTGCTGTCTGTCACTGGATTTACCTAATCTGTACATTTATTATAAGTGGAATCATACATTATGCAGCCTTTTGTGACTAGCTTCTTTTGCTTAGCATGTCTTAAGGGTTCATGCATGTTGTAGCATGTATCCTTTTTATGGCTGAATAACATTCCATTGTATGGATATACCACATTTTGTTTATCTGCTCATTAGTTGATGGTCATTTGGGTGTGTCCATATTTTGACTATTACAAATAATGCTGCTACGAGCATTCTTGTACAAGTTGTTGTGGGAACATATGTCTTCAATTTTCTTAGTTCTATACCTGGAAGTGGAAAAACTCAGACGACTTACAGGTGCCCCTAGCTAAGAACCTCTGCTTTCTAAACACTAACATTTATTTCAGGTTTCAATCATACCACCTTCTACAGAACCTCATAACAAGGAATAATGATGCTGAAATACACTGAATTTTTTTCTTTTTTATAAGCCCTATGAAGTCTGTTGAAGACTATACATGTCTTCCTTTCTATGAATAGTTGGTAGTCAGTACAGGAAACTGGTCTCCTTTTAGCACTGACACAATGTGAATCTTGACTAATTGTGACTTCCTCTCTTCTTTTTTTTTTTTTTTTTAAAATACGGAGTCTGGTTCTGTCACCCAGGCTGGAGTGCAGTGGCACAATCTTGGCTCACTGCAAGCTCTGCCTCCCAGGTTCACGCCATTCTCCTGACTCAGGCTCCTGAGTAGCTGGGACTACAGGCTCCCACCACCATGCCTGGCTAATTTTTTGTATTTTTTAGTAGAGACGGGGTTTCACCGTGTTAGCCAGGATGGTCTCGATCTCCTGACCTTGTGATCCGCCTGCCTCGGCCTCCCAAAGTGCTGGGATTACAGGCGTGAGCCACCGTGCGCTTGGCCTTTTTTTTTTTTTTTTTTTTCTTTTGAGACGGAGTTTCACTCTTGTCACCCAGGCTGAAGTGCAATGGCGTGATCTTGGCTCACTTGCAACCTCTGCTTCTGAGGTTCAAGTGATTCTCCTGCCTCAGCCTCCTGAGTAGCTGGGATTACAGGTGCGTGTCGCCACACCTGGTTAATTTTTGTATTTTCAGTAGAGATGGGGTTTTATCATGTTGGCCAGGCTGGTCTTGAATTCCTGACCTCAGGTGATCCATCCACCCTGGCCTCCCAAAGTGTTGGGATTATAGGCGTGAGTCACTGTGCCCGGCCTCCTCTCTTCATTTGACTACTAGAATCTTTAGCAAGCACATCAGACTTCATGCAAACATTTTATACACTTCTCTCCTGGTTTCATTACTTTCTTGCCCTAATTTCTACACTGCCTTGTTTTCCCATTAATTTGAAATACATTTATCTTTGCTCTATTGTATATAACTAAGTAAACAATTTCTGGAACAAGGAAGGTTACAAAATAAACTAATATCAGATCCACTAAATTTAGACTATCACCTTAAAAGGTTCATAGATTATTAATTTTAACAATTTCGTATATGTATACAGAGAGCTGCTGCGAATTTATAGACTGTGATTTTTATATAGGCAACTACATAAAAGCTAGTGATATTTTTGTTATATATGCATCATAAATGTACACATTATTCAATATGTATTAGGCCAGGCAGAGATTTGATTTCCCTTTGACTGATATTTCATATATTTGAAATTCTTGGTGCTACAGAAAGAGACCCGGCAGAAAACTAATGTAACTAATCTTCCAAACGACTTATAACCGAGTGGTTAAGGCATTCAAATAGTAAATTTTGTTTAAAACAGTAAGAACAGAGAAATGGTATAGTTTTTAAAGGCATTAACTACCATGCTTGCATAAAGCATGTGATGATGGCTTTTTGAAATGATTTTGATTATACTATAGAAATTAATTTCATTAATAGAGAAAATAAATGATAAAGGGATCAACTGGAAAATGACCTAATATATAAATGTTTTCCTTACAGATAACTTTCAAGATTATTAAACCTTAATCCCACTTTTGTGAATTTATGCTACATAAAGATATGTTAGAATAAGAAAAGATACAGATATACGTTAAAGATATTCACTGTCACACAGTTTATGATAAGGAAATGAAATCAATCTGAAAGTTCTGGTATATGCACAAAATGGACTATAATCATTAAATCATTAAACACATAAAACACATTTGATTGTGTTTTTATTTCATGTGCTTAAAGAATTTTCTTTTTTGTAGCAAAAAGAAACTGATCATTAAAATCATTAAATGATCATTCAAAAGAATGTGATATATCTGTGAGTTGATATGTAAAATCAAATTAAGTGAAAAAAGGTACAGAATAATATGACACGACCCCATCCATAAAGGTAAATTTAAATATATACACACACACACACACACACACACACACCCCTAAATGTATCTACCTATTTATCTGCTGGTATATGAATAAAACTTCTTAAAAACAAATAAGTGTAACAGTTAATGACATATAGAAGTGAGATTGAGAATCAGAAGAAGGGGAGGAACACTTTTAGTTTTAAGCCTTTATATTCAAACTTTAACCACGAGTCTTTTACTGAAAATAAAAATAACAAATAAATGAAATAAGAATGTTATTGGAATTATTTTTCTTTACTTTTTGCATTTCTTTTTTGAGACAGTCTCACTCTGTCGCTCAGGCTAGAGTGCAGCGGCGTGATCACAGCTCACTGCAACCGCCGCCTCCCAAGTTCAGGTGATTCTCATACCTCAGCTTCCCGAGTAGCTGGGACTACAGGTGTGTGCCACCACGGCCGGCTAATTTTTGTATTTTTAGTAGAGACAGAGTTTCACTGTGTTGGCCAGGCTGGTCTTGAACTCCCAGCCTCAAGTGATTCACCCGTCTCAGCCTCCCAAAGTGCTGGGATTACAGGTGTGAGCCACCAAGCTTAAGCTTGGCCTCTTTACTTTTTGCATTTCTATTCAATGGATCTTCTATTGAAAATAAAACTATAGCAAAGAATGTCACAGGTGTAAGTGATACCATAAGCAAAACAGACCTACCTTCTGTGTATCAATATCTTGTCTCATGATTCTCATATCTTCATTTATCTTTTCTTTGTGTTTCTCGCATTCACTTAGTTGAGCTATTACTTTATTAAGTTCAGTTTCTTTTTGCTACAAAAAAGAAAATTCTTTAAGCACATGAAATAAAAACACAATCAAATAAATAATTTTAAGTTTTAAATTACCTTCTTATAGTCGTCTTTCCCATCTTGAATATAATTCTCAATGTCTTTCATATAACCATGAATATTTTTAACCTTCTCTTTAATATCATTCAGCTGTAGAAAAATATTCATTAAATTTACACTGGTTGTACTTAAGGGCACATAACAGGAGAGCACAGTAAAATACTGGCTGAGAAGTTATGAACCTTGGGTTCCAGTTTCCACCACTACTGAATTTTATGATCTCAGACAAGTCCCTTTATCACCTATAGGAATGGATTAATTAATCTTAATCCTTAACTTCTATTTTAGATCAAGCAGCAAAATAATTTACCTCTAATCCTTGTTCTAACAAGAATTTCTAATATCAAAATTATACCATGAATCTGAAAATACTATTTATCTTATGCTATTTAATTTCATGTGGAATAATAGTGTCCAACATGGTGCTATGAACGTAAGTTTAATACAGGTATTTGATAAGTAAATATATAAATGAAATCTTACTTTATCCTGTGCTATTTTGTTGCTTGTATTTTTTTTGTTGATTATTTCTTCTTTTTCTTGCTGGAACTTTTCCAACGTTGTTTCCAAAGGGCTTACCTGCTCTTTAGCATCCTAAAAATATAAAAAAGATAAAGTATTATATAATATTCCATTATCTTACTTTAGGTGTCAGACTTCACAGCCTTAATAAAAGCACTTTCTATGTGCCAGGCTCTAAATGTCAACGCATTTGTTCCTTTCAATGACCCTATGAAGACAGTACCATCATTTTCAGTCCTATATTTCACATGAGCAAACAGACACAGAGAATGACTTGTCCAGGGTCACAACAGCCAATAAATGAATCAGCCAAGATTTTAACCCAGTCCAGCTCCAGAGATCACTCTCTTAACCACTATGCATACTATACTGTATCAACCACTAATTTGATTCTTAATCTAGGCCATGTGCTCCCAATTATATTAGCATGTGGCTTCAAGCATGAGTTTTCATGATTTTATAGGTACCCCTGTCACTGCTGCATGATCAAAGAATAGGAAAGCTCATTCAGTCCAGACTTTTCTTTTACAGATGAAAATATCGTGGTAAAAACACTTCTGTTCTTAAGCTTAGCCTGCTAAGGCTATGCAGATATTTTATGCTAATAAAAGCATACTGTTAAACTAATGTTGGTGTGTCCACATCTATTCTGGAAGGAACGGGGCTTTCAAATAATTAACTATTTTACTAAATAGAAGTCCCCATTATTTAGCCTTGTAACACTAAATCTACAACATAGTTATATGATAACCACAGTTCAAAACAATGGTCCTCAAGCTCTTTAAGATTCTGAAGTATTGAGTGAATCTATAGAGGCAGATACAATTATTTAGTAATTACTTCAATATATGTCTATTTTATCATACTGGGAAGTGGTATGGTGTGTTAGGAAGTCAAATGCCTTCAGTGTCAGAAGATCTATCAGAAAATCAACTCTGCTTCCTATTAGCTGCATAAACTTAGGCACTCGTGAGACATTTGTAAATCTCAATTTCTTTTCCTATAAAGAGATTTCATCATCTAAATAGGGTTGCTGAGGCACTGAATGGTTCAATGTCAAAGTGCTTTATAAACAGTAAAAAATTATACAAATGCAAGTATTTTAATATCATATTCTGAACCTCTGATATTTTGTAATCCAAAATTATTCAAGAAATAAAAATTTATAGTAATTATTCAGTAATATACTTAGTGCTTATTGAATGAGTACCCATAATTATATAAACCTAGGTAAGACTGTTTCTAAAACTGTTTATAACTGGTTGAGTCTTAGATGTGATTAATCTATATAAGGGATGTCAAAAAGGTTCCAGTGGCAACTGAGTGCCTGCTCACTGTATTGGTAAGGATTCTGAAACCACATCTGGAATCAAATGGAAAGAGTGCTATGACTGAGAGTGTCTGCTATAGATAAAGGATCTGCAGATAAGACAAACCTCCTGTACAAGCAGGAATCCTTATACAGAGTTAACCAACCACCACCTAACCACCTCCAATAACATTTGCTGCTTAACCAGGCAGCCAGTTCTTCCTTATTATGGCAAACTCCTTCTTCCAGAAATCTTTACTTACTAGTACAAGTTCTATCACTTAGGAACCACACAAAGAATGATTATACCATTTTCATTTGATCCTCTATAACAGCTGGTTTTCAAAGGGAATGCTTCCAGTTTTTGCCCATTCAGTATGATATTGGCTGTGGGTTTGTCATAAATAGCTTATTATTTTGAAATATGTTCCATCGATACATAGTTTATTGAGAGCTTTTAGCATGAAGGGGTGTTGAATTTTATCGAAGGTCTTTTCTCCATCTATTGAGATAATCATGTGGTTTTTGTCTTTGGTTTTGTTCATGAGATGGATTACATTTACTGATTTGCATATGTTGAACCAGCCTTGCATCCCAGGAATGAAGCCGACTTGATCGTGGTGGATAAGCTTTTTGACGTGCTGCTGGATTCAGTTTGCCAGTATTTTATTGAGGATTTTTGCATCGATGCACATCAGGGATACTGGCCTGAAATTTTCTTCTTTTGTTGTGTGTCTGCCAGGGTTTGGTATCAGGATGATGCTGGTCTTATAAAATGAGTTAGGGAGGATTTCCTCTTTTTCTATTGTTTGGAATAGTTTCAGAAAGAATGGTACCAGCTCCTCTTTGTACCTCTGGTAGAATTCAGCTGTGAATCTCTCTGGTCCTGGACTTTTTTGGTTGGCAGGCTATTACTGCCTCAATTTCAGAACTTGTTATTGGTCCATTCAGGGATTTGACTTCTTCCTGGGTTAGACTCGGGAGGGTGGATATATCCAGGAATTTATCCATTTCTTCTAGCTTTTCTAGTTTATTTGCGTGGAGGTGTTTATAGTATTCTCTGACGGTAGTCTGTATTTCTGTGGGATTGGTGGTGATATCCCCTTTATCATTTCTTACTGCATCTATTTGATTCTTCTCTCTTTTCTTCTTTATTAGTCTGGCTAGTGGTCTATTTTGTTGATCTTTTTAAAAACCCAGTTCCTGGACTGATTTTTTTGAAGGGTTTTTTGTGTCTCTATCTCCTTCGGTTCTGCTCTGATCTTAGTTATTTCTTGTCTTCTGCTAGCTTTTGAATTTGTTTGTTCTTGTTTCTCTAGTTCTTTTAATTGTGATGTTAGGGTGTCGAATTTAGCTCTTTCCTGCTTTCTCTTATGGGCATTTAGTGCTATGAATTTCCCTCTACACACTGCTTTCAATGTGTCTCAGAGATTCTGGTATGTTGTATCTTTGTTCTCATTGGTTTCAAAGAACATCTTTATTTCTGCCTTCATTTCGTTATTTTAACTGGCAGTCATTCGGGAGCAGGTTGTTCAGTTTCCATGTAGCTGTGAGGTTTTGAGTGAATTTCTTAATCCTGAGTTCTAATTTGATTGCACTGTGGTCTGAGAGACTGTTATGATTTCTGTTCTTTTGCATTTGCTGAGAGTGTTTTACTTCCAATTATGTGGTCAATTTTAGAATAAGTGCAATGAGGTGCTGAGAGTTCTGGCCATTACACTAATGAGGAGCATTTCATATGAAAGAAACGTGGACTGAGTGAGGTGATATATGCCTGTAATTTTGGGAGGCCAAAGCTGCATTGCTTGAGGCAGAGTTTGAGACCAGCCTGAACAACATAGTGAGACCCTGTCTCTACAAAAATTTAAAAAATTAGCCAGGCGTGGTGGGTTGTGCCTGTAGTCCCATCTACTTGAGAGGGTGAGGCAAGACGATTGCCTGAGCTCAGGAGGTCAATGCTGCAGTGAGTGAGCTGTGACTACACCACTGCATTCCAGCTTGGGAGACAGAGGAAGACTCTTTGTCTCTAAAAAGGAATAGGGTGGGGCATAGTGGCTCACACCTGTAATCCCAGCACTTTGGGAGGCCAAGGTAGGCAGATCAACTGAGTTCAGGAGTTTGATACCAGCCTGTCCAATGGCACAACCCCGTCTCTACTAAATACAAAAATTAGCTGGGCGTGGTGGTGCACGCCTGTAATCCCAGCTACTCAGGAGGCTGAGGCAGGAGAATCGCTTGAATCCAGGAGATGGAGCTTGCAGTGAGCCGAGATTGCACTACTGCACTCCAGCCTGGGCAACAGGGTGAGATTGTCTCAAAAAATAAAAATAAAATTAAAATAATTTTACAAAAAACATGTATGGATATTCTTACCTTTATCTCTCTGTACAAAGACTGAACTTCAGTGGATAATTCCACAGTCTGCTCCTCCAGTTGCTGACGACGTTGCAAATTAGTGGATATCTGAAGTTTCTCAGATTTTAGCTCATTTGTCATACTTTTTAGATGTTGAATCTGTTCCTGCTGGTCCTGTATAAGCTTACGATTCAATTCAATCTTACTAGAAACTACACAAGAACATATTAACACAGTAATTAATGTAAGGGTATAGAAAATACTATTTGTATCATTCTTCCCATTTTTATTAGTCTATGGAATCCACAAATGCTGAGTTTCTATGGGCCCCACCCACTGCAACAAACATATAACGAGAACCCTGCTAGCTCCCAAATCAGCTTGATGTCCCCTGCTGACTCACAGGGAAAGCTCACAGGGCAGGTATGACTGAGAAAGAATACAGCTCATGGCCAGGCGCACTGGCTCATGCTTGTAATCCCAGCACTTTGGGAGGCCAAGGCGGATGAATCCCGAGGTCAGGAGTTTGAGACCAGCCTGACAAACACAGTGAAACCCCGCCTCTACTAAAAAATACAAAAATTAGCTGGGCATGGTGACGAGTGCCTGTAATCCCAGCTACTCAGGAGGGTGAGGCAGGAGAATCACTTGAACCTGGGAGGCGGAGGTTGCAGTGAGCTGAGATTGTACCACTGCACTCCAGCCTGGGCAACAAGAGCAAAATTCCATCTTAAAAAAAAAAAAGAAAAAGAATACAGCTTATTTGACACCCTCCTACTATTCAAAATCTGTTGTGCAAAGTAAGAGAACAAAGAGAAGTGATGCTTTTCAGAAAAAAAGAGCGAATATACTGTGGACTGGAAGGAACTTCCTTGTCCATGTAACAGGTATAAAATTGAGTATAAAAGGCATGTGCCGGCAATGTTGAAGTCTCTATGGGTACAGAAGGACACAGACTGTATTACCTGTGTCTAACTTGTGCTGTTTCTCTTGTTTCTCCTGGTTGACTTGTTGGACAGTTCGATCTAAGTCTATTCCTTGTAGCTTAGCTGCTTGTTGTGCAATTTTTCTTTCAACATCTTTAAGTTCCATCTTAAGAATATAACAAAATTATTTCCTTTAATAAACTTACTGCATTATTCAAAATCTTTAAAAATTAATTGCTATTATTATTTTTTAAATCTAAACTTATAAACCATTTCCAGATACAATTTTAGCAAAGTGTAATAGTATAAAAGTGAAATGATGTAAACAAAAGGAAGCTGACTAAAAATGAAAAACAAACAGAACTGTCTTAATTTTTAAATTTATGAATTAAAAAATTTAAACCCAGGGATGTAAACTAAGCAGTTGCTCCCTGAGGGCATCTGAAATTCAGGATGGGGAATTCTAAACACAACCTGTACCTGAATACTAGCTACTATTTTTAACTCTCACACTTCAAATTCAAGCTACCATGGAGCAAGTTTTATTCTGCCTTAAACTACAATAAACTTACCTGGAACCTCTCCATAATTGTAACATCTGTCAGGCACACTTTAGCACTTTCTTCTTCAGGCATTATTGTACCCAAGAGTGTTTCTTGTTCTTCTATGTCATTCTTTAGGCGCTGTATGTCTCGATTGACATTCTGCAATTTGTTTCTTAATTCTGGTATTTCCTTCTCCTTCAAATCAATTATGCTTTGCCTAAATAGAAAACACAATTAAAAATAAAGTATCTGATGTTTCTCACAGTTAGACTGAGGTTTTGTGTATTTTTAGGAAGAATACCACAGAAGTGACATTGGGGTATCCTATCAGTGGGTAGAGAATCATGATATCAATATGTCTTATTACTGATGATGTTAATCTTTATTCACTTGGCTTAGGTGGTGTCGGCCAGGTTTCTCCACTGTAAATTACTGTTTTGGTCTTTGTAATTAGTAAGTATCTTAGGAGAGAAATGTTGAGACTATGTAAATATCTTGCTTCTCCTCAACTTTCTGCCTACATATTTTAGTATCCACTGACAGATCTTCCTTGCAATAATTATTACTGTGGTGTTTGTCAAACTGAGAAATAGTCTACTAATGAACTGGTCATATTCACCAAAAGTGTTAACGTCATGAAAGATAAAGACAGACTGTTACAGACTGCAGGAGCCTAAGGAGAAATAACAACTAGATGCTATGTGGGATCCTGCATGGAACCCTGAAACACAAAAGGCATTGATGAAAAAACTGCTAAATTCGATGTAGTCTGTAATCTAGTTAGTAGCATTATACCAATGTTAATCCTGGTTTTGATAACTGTATTATAACAGAGTACATAAATAGTTAATATCAGGAGAAGCTGGGTGAGGGATATATGTGAATAATTTGTATTATTTTTATAATTTTTCTGTAAACCTAAAATTATTTCAAAATAACAACTTTTTAAATTACAGGAATAAAAGGAAGGAAGACAGCCATTAAATCAAATGCTACATGGGTTTAAGGTACAAAATGTCAACCGATTTTACTGGTACTCATTACTCTAGCTAATGAACTACTGCCTCCATGGCAGGTACTGACAACTATTTTTGCTGATGCCTCTGAAACAATAACACATATTTAATCTTTTTAAAAAATTTACTTCAGAAATATTCCAAATTCTTATTTAAAATTATATGGAATTAGTATGACAAAGCAGTATGATAAATTAAACTGGTCTCTAATGGGAGTCTTATTATAAACTAAAAGAATAACCAGAAACTTAAGTGGCTACTACTTAATGATTTTTAAAAAATGCGAACTATGATCAAGAAATGCCAACCTGACCTGTGGCAACAGACTTACAGTTTTTAAAAAATTTTTTAATTTTTAATTATTTACTTTTTTTGCTTTAAGTTCTGGGGTACATGTGTAGAATGTGCAGATTTGTTACATAGGTATACACGTGCTACGGTGGTTTGCTGCACCTATCAACCCATCATCTACATTAGGTATTTCTCCTAATGCTATCCCTCCCCTAGTCCCCCACCAGCTGACAGGCCCCAGTGTGTGATGTTCCCCTCCCTGTGTCCATGTGCTCTCATTGTTCAGCTCCCACTTATGAGTGAGAATATGTGGTGTTTGGTTTTCTGCTCTCCTGTGTTAGTTTGCTGAGAATGATGGTTTCCAGCTTCATCCATGTCCCTGCAAAGGACATGAACTCATCCTTTTATATGGCTGCATAGTTACTCCATGGTGTATATGTGCCACATTTTCTTTATCCAGTCTATCACTGATGGGCATTTGCGTTGGTTCCAAGTCGTTGCTATTGTGAGTAGTGCTGCAGTAAACACGTGTGCATGTCAGACCTATAGTTTTTTATACCACAGAAATAGGAGGTATTCTTATTCCATATAAGTATAACAAATACGAAGGCATGGAGATTATGAATAATTCCATGCCAATGTTACCTCTTGAACACTGTTGTCACAGATCAGTAGTTGGCCTTAAATTATGGGCCCAATATCTAAAAAAGTAACACAGCTATGATAGCCCAATAATGATTGCCAAGCATTTATTAAACTGGGGACATCTCTGTGAAGAACTATAGGTATACATACAGTTTTAACCCTATTTTTACATTTTCATACACACACACAAAATCTTTCATCAGTATGGTCCAGGTTTTGGTGCACTCTTTTTTGATGATTACCTAAGATGTTAAAAGAAGTGGTCTGGCTGGGTGTGGTGGCTCACGCCTGTAATACCAGCACTTTGGGAGGCTGAGGCTGGTGGGATCACCTGAGGTCAGGAGTTCAAGACCAGCCTGGCCAACATGGTGAAACCCCATCTCTACTAAAAATACAAAAAATTAGCAGGGTGTGGTGAAGGGTGCCTATAATCCCAGCTACTCGGGAAGCTGAGGCTAAAGAACTGCTTAAACCCAGGAGGCGGAGGTTGCAGTGAGCCAAGATTTGTGCCACTGCACTCCAGCCTGGGCAATAAGAGTGAAACTCTGTCTCAAAAGAAGTGTTCTAAGAAAAAGCAGAGAAGCTTCCCTGAAGAATGCACTAGAGAAATCTATTAGGGTTCTCTGGGTTTGTTTTTCATTTTTATGACATTTTATTTTTTATATTCAAGAGTTAATTTTTCTCATGGTTCACAAAGTTTTTAAAAATATTTTCAATAGATAAATCATAATTGTAAACATTTATGGGGTACAATGTGATGTTCTATGTACACAATGTACAATGATTAAAGGTAATTTAGCATATCCATTACCTTGCCTATCATTTTTTATAGACAGATATTTGAAATTTACTCTTTGGATTTTTGTTTTCTCAGAAACTCAATTCACCTATTTTTGGACAGCATTCCTTTTCTAAGGGGATTGTGTGTAAAAAGGCCCACACAGATATGGTACTGAAAAAAACCTGTGGGAGAAATGGGGGGGAAATACCAATTGAGTTTGTATTCAAATGAGGTGCTATAATAAATGAATCTGAGTCAGTACTATACAAAATGATAAACAGGTATATTTTCAGCTGAGTTCTCAGTCATGATGTTAGTTTTACATTAGGTGCTGGTGAATCTGAGGCTTTAAATGACAGTATTTCCCGCAAAGCAGCAAGATATAGCTCCCTACTACTACCTCTCTGAGCTCATCTTCCACAACTCTTCCCTTTGGCCTTCCGGTCAAATATGTCTCAGAGACTTTGTACCGCCTGGAATATTATTCTGGACAACTGCATGGCTGGCTCCCTCACTTCTCTCAAGTTTCCACTCCAATGCCATCTTCATCAAGTCCCCCCCACCACCCTTCAGCTACTCCCTATTCCCTTATCTTGCTGTATTTTTCTCGATGCCCCTGATCATCCTCCGGTGTATTATATATTCACTTATTTGTCATCCATCTCCTCCCCACTGGAATATAAACTCCATGAGGGCAGGGACTTTGTCCATTTTGTTTACTGCTGTATTACCTGCACTCCAGTAGACTGCCTATCTTGGCTGCACGAATAAACAGTTCTCATGATAGTGTTGGCATCAAGGGCATATTCTAAAGGTGAAAAGGCAAATGGCACACAGATAAATTTAATCTTGTTACTTTACTCCTCTTCACCAATAACCTTCCACCTAAGTGACTATCATAAATAGACCTCCACAATGTCTCTGAAAGTGACCCCAGGGGATATCTGAAAGTAGTGTCTTAACCAGAGGTGGTAGGAAGCTTAATGATCATGTAAGTCAATCTCCTCACTTTATGTGGGGGATACTAAGGCCCAAATGAGTTAAGTAACATCCTTAAGGTCACCCAGCAGAGTTGGAATTTGAAATCAACCTGACTGTACTCTTAGGCAATTGCTTTCCTATATTCCAAAAAACAAAACAAAACAAAACAAAACAAAAAGTCCTCTTGGTTGAGCATGGTGGCTCATGCCTGTAATCCTAGCACTTTGGGAGGCTGAGGTAGGAGGATTGTTTGAGCCTAGGAGTTCCAGGCTTCAGTGAGCTATAATCAGTTACACCACTACACTCCAGCCTGGGCGACAGGAACAAGACCCTATCAATCAATCAAGTCTTCTTAATTCATTATTGACCTTCCATTTGTGGATTTATTTAAACTTTAAAAAAATGTGTTTTATAATGTTATTTCCTACTATTGGGAAGAAGACTTCCTCTCTCATTTGTCTCAAACTCATCCTTCTCCAGTTTTCCAGAATGGCCCACTGACATTCTGTTAGAGCTTGCTAAACAAACGGGGGTTCATCATTTCCCTGCTCTTCAGGTTTTCAAGTTTTGGTTCCTTTATGAAAATGGTTTCCCCACACACGTGTCCTCACTTAGCAGCCCTGCCAGCATCTTGGTCCATTTTTAGTGCTTCCTCTAGGCCTTTTCTAGCTTCAGGTTCTCTTAAAATGTGTGGTAACCAGACATTTAACTGGCTAAACTAGCCAGGTAGATAACCTAGCTGAGACCAGTCATCCCATGAAACCATGAAAAACTAATCACTGTGAGACAGTTTTGTTTTGTTTTTTTTTTGAGACGGAGTCTCACTCTGTCACCCAGGCTGGAGTGCACTGGCTGGATCTCAGCTCACTGCAAGCTCCGCCTCCCGGGTTTATGCCATTCTCCTGCCTCAGTCTCCAGAGTAGCTGGGACTACAGGCGCCCACCACCTCGCCCGGCTAGTTTTTTGTATTTTTTAATAGAGACGGGGTTTCACCATGTTAGCCAGGATGGTCTCAATCTCCTGACCTCGTGATCCGTCCGTCTCAGCCTCCCAAAGTGCTGGGATCACAGGCTTGAGCCACCGCGCCCGGCCTTGTGAGACAGTTTTGAGGGGTGTTGTTACACAGCAATAAATAACGGGAATAGACACTACAGTTCTCATTCATTCAATAAATAGTTATCAAAGTTACAATATAGAATATACAAATGTGTGGTTGCCTAGTCTCTAGGTAACCAGAATGGCACATAGATGCTACTGCAGATATAGGGTTATGCAGATTCAAGTCAGTCACAAGTACTTTGATATTCTTCCCATCAAGAAACACAGTATCCTCCCTCACTGAATCGTGGGAGTCTCTGTGACCACTCTGACCAATAGAAAATGAAGTGTCACTGTGCCAGTTTCTCAGTATAGGCCTTAAAGGACTTGCAGCTTCCACTTCCTGTTCATGGAATACTTACTCTTGGGATAGTCTGTTTAGGAACCCGGTCACTATGCTTCCAAAAGCCCAAGACACATGCAGAGGCCATGTGAAGACGTCCTGTTTTGAGAGCCCCAGCTGAGCTGCCAAACAACAGTCAGCATCACTGTCAGTCACGTGATCCATCAAGAACATCCAGCTCGGTTACACTTTGAGATGACTGCAGCCAACATCTGACTACAACCATAAGACCTCAAGTGAGAGCCACCTAGCTGAGCCCAGTCATACCACAGAACCATGAGAAATTAATTATTGTGAGATAGATTTGAGGTTTGTTACACAGCAATAAATAATTGGAACAGACATTACAGTTCTCATTCATTCAGCAAACAGTTATCAAAGCTGCAATATACATGGAACTGTGGAGATACAGTAAGTAAGACATGCACCTTACTCTTAGAGGGGAAACTGTGGCCCAGCACGGTGGCTCACTCTTGTAATCCCAGCACTTTGGGAGACTGAGACAGGCGATTGCCTGAGGTCAGGAGTTTGAGACCAGTCTGGCCAACATGGTGAAACCCTGTCTCTACTAAAAATACAAAAAAATTAGCTGAGTGTGGTGACGTGCGCCTGTAATCCCAGCTACTTGGGAGGCTGAGGCAGGGGAATTGCTTGAACCAGGGAGGTGGAGGTTGCAGTGAGCCAAGATTGCATCACTGCACTCCAGCCTGGGCGATGACAGCTATAATATGATGTTAATTTCTGCCATTTATTGTATAACTGTCTAACACAGAACTAAGCTCACATTTCTCCTACATGTACTTTCTATCAATTTCAAATTTTATCCATTTGATCTTTTTCTTTTCAATATACTATCTTATTCCTCTCCTTCCTTTTTATTCTCAAGCTACTGCTTCTGTCTCCTCATCTCTGTGGCCCCAATAATCTGGTTTTCACCCTTGATGCTTGTATTTGTTATCTCTTGTTGCATAACAAAGTATCCCAAAACTTAGCAGCTTAAAATAACAGCACTTATTATTTCTCAGAGATACCAGGATCAGGAGATAACGCTTCTCACTCAGGGTCTCGCATGAAGTTGCAATCAAGCTGTAAGCCAGGACTGCAGTCATCTTAAGGCTTGACTGCTACAAAGTCTATTTCCAAACTCACTTGCTCAAAGGCCTCAGGTCCTTACCATAAGGGCCTCTCCAGAGGGCTGCTTGCAACATGGCAGCTAGCTTCCCTCAGACAAGAGACAGAAGGGGACAGAGCGTGTGACAGAGGGGAAGAAGAGGGGGAGAGTGAGCAAGTTCACACGAGTGAGGGCACGTGCACATGCGAGCACAGAAGAAGCCATAGTACCTTAAATAACCTAATGTTGGAAAGGCCATACTATCACTTCTGCCTGTTTTATCAGTTACACAGACCAATCCCGCAACAGCATGAGAGGGGACTATACAAGGGTATGAATACCAAGAGGCCGAGATTACTAGGGACCATCTTAGAAGTTGGCTGCCACGAACCACATCTTCTTAGGCCTTTCTTTCTCCTTTTCCTGAAACTCCTCCTTGGTTTTCCAGGGCAATCACTTTCATTCTCCTGGATTTTCTGCTTCCTAAGCTTTTGTCAGCCTGTTTCAGTCAATATACTGATATTAGATTAATTTTCCTAAAATACATCTTTCATTAAATCCCTTAAGTTGGCTCCTCCTCATCACCTATCAGAAAGGGTTATAACTAGGCCTGAATATAATACAGCCCTATCTCCCCAGTGTACAAGATTCAATCCCTATAAATAATTGCCCAAACTCCAGATAACATTTCTACTGCAGCATAGGTCATACTCCTCTTCCCTTTGCACCATGTTCTGACTTCCATCTCCTCTCGGTTGAGCTGAATGAACTTCTCCAGGCCTTATATTCCTCTCCCTGCCTCATTCTCAAAATATTTTTCTCATTTTGTATCCACTGACTCCTCCCTTCTTAACTAACACATTTGTTTGAATCATTTTGTTAAGCACTTTATTAAGCCTAGTTTTCTAAACGTTGAATTCTGAGAGCCTGTCTTCTTAATCAGACCATTAGCTCCTGGAGGGTCATGTCTTAGGTCTCTGGGACCAGCCTTGTTCTCTATGTTCTGGGAGACACTAAGGCAATCATCACATATTTCCTAACTTGATTTTTATTTGTAAACAGAACATAACATGAATTTCTTGTACAAGTGAGGGAAAATATAAACAACTGAAAATCTTTTTGAAAGTGCAAAAGACATTAAAAACATAGTTTAAAATCTGTCTTCTGGGAGAACTTTTCAGTACTTAAATTCTTTTGCTGGGTTCAGAAAGTGGCAAGTCGACAGTCCTATGTCCGACAGTCCTGTGAAAATCTATGCCCACAAGCTAAGTCTTGGGAATTAAACACACATACAAAAGAACGTAGACTATGTCTACCTCACATTTTAAGAAATAAGCTTACCGGCCATGTACGGTGCTCACACCTGTGATCCCAGGGAGGCTGAGGTGGGCCAATCCCTTGAGGTCAGGAGTTCGAGATCAGCCTGGCCAACATGGTGAAACTCCATCTTTACTAAAAATTATAAAAATTAGCTGGGCATGGTGGTGCATGCCTGTAATCCCAGCTACTGAGGAGGCTGAGGCATGGGAATCGCTTCTGGGAGGTGGAGGTTGCAATGAGCCAAGATCGTGCCCTCCAGCTTAGGTGACAGAGAGAGACTCTGTCTCAGGAAAAAAAAAAAAAAAAGAAAGAAAGAAAGAAAGGAAATAAGCTTACCTTTCAACAAAATAATTGACTCTTCTTATCACAGAAGTGACCTAAGACAGGGCATACTAGCTCAGAGTTCTTACTGAGTAACTACCATCTGCCCAGGCATGAGACAGGTACCTTTTACAATGTGCTGCTACATGTACAGTTAAGGTAAATCCCTATTCTTACCTCATAGGCACAAGTCCCAGCATTTCATCACGCCGCTTTTCCTTTTTTTTTAGCTCTGATTCTGTTGACTTGAGTTTATCTGGAGCAAGTCGCAGTTTAGACTGCAAATCACTGATGACTTCTTGTAATTCAGCCTCTGTCTGAAAAACTCTCTGACAAACGGGGCAACATGACTGGTTTTCATCTGTTAGCTGAGTAATGAACTGGGAGTAAACTGCTGTGGCTCCAGCCAGCATGGCTATTTTAAGAAAATAAGTTATATCACCAATGAGAAAAAACATAAAATACAGTATTGTCAATATGGTTTCATCTTTTTCTATAAATATATTATTCTTGCTTTATAAATATATTATAAAAGAAATAAAAATTCTGATACTTAAAATTCCAATATTCTCTTCCAAAGAGCATGATACATTCAGATTTGTATAAATATTTTTTGGTAACACATTATAAGTATAACAAAATGTCTACTGAGAGCTTTCTCTGTGCCAGGCACTGTTCTAAGGGTTTTACAACTATAATCTCATTCACTCCTCAGTACCCAGGTGGTAGTTGTGTCCTCATTTTACAGACGATGAAACACAGGAAGGTTTCAGTAACTTGCCTAAAGTCACACAGTGAGTAAGTTGTAGAGCCAGGACTGAAATCCAAGCCATTAGGCTCCATAACCAGGTTTTTAAATTCCCCATCCTTAACAGTTACCTGTGAATGAAAATTCAAAGGTGTCAGAGTATCATGATAACATAAAGTAGGTAGACTTACCTCGCTGTTTTGATGATTTTTCAATTTCCTCTTTAAGCCTGTCTAAATCACTTTCAAAATCCTGGCTACCACAAACATCAAACAGCTTGTCTTCGTAACTGGACAACTGTTCTTCCTTTCTTTTTAGTTCATTATTTATATGATTTTTATTCTGCTCAGCTGAAGCTAGTTCTTTGCTAAAATAAGAATAAATATGGATTTTCATTTTAAAATAGGAGAAATGAGTTTGAAAGTTTGAGTAGGCAAAAACAAGATAAATTTCTGCCAACAAATCATGACCAAATACTTTTTTTTTAGAAGTTGAGGGACAAGCCCACTTCTGTCTTAACTCTCCCCCTATGACACTGACTTACCTGTCAGTCCTGCTCATGGGCCTGCTCCCAGAAAAATGTACACAGATTCTGCCTGGTTTCTGGGAGTTCATGGCCTTTGATCCCAGGTTAAGCCCCAGCAAGATGTTTGCTGGGACTACTGGACAGAAAGAAGACAGGAGAACACCCCCGTAATTCTCTTTAGTCCTTTCACAAATACTACTTCCTTACTCTCCTGTAAATACTGTTTCTTTGTATCCTCTCCCTCCTTGTTGCTGTCACCCACTTGCCTCCAGAACAGTCATTCCCTCTCGTTAATCAAATATTTTACTTACTAGCACAATTTATCTCCACTTTTAGCTCTTAAATATCATCCTAGCCAACCTCAATACCTACATATAACATGGTTTTTCAATTTACAGGTTTTGATGCACTAGCTACCATGTAGTCAATTTAATGTATTATATTCAGCATATTTTTAAAAAATGAAACATAAGAGATGGTAATACATTGGAGTAGGCTGTATGTATACATACTACTTTGAGAAATTGGTTTCAGATAAATGTGTGTTACTGCACACGTGCTTCTTCATCATGACTACCCATCGTGAGTCACAGTAAAATTTTGGAAAAAAGTAACTAATACAGATGATATTTTCATTATCCTAGACTCCACTGAGCACTTCTCATCAAGATCACCAGTGACCTAAGTGCCAAGTACAGTCTTCATCTTACTCCACCTCTAGGTAGCACCAAACACTGTTGACTTTCTCCTTGAAGACTATTTTCTCAAGGCACCCAGACACCACGGCTATCTGGCTCTCACTCTGGTTCCCTGGGCACATCCCAGTTTCCTTCACTTGATCCTTTTCCTTGGCCTGCTAACATTTTAAATGTTTGTGCTTCCTGGGAATCTAATTGTAACCCCTTCTCTTTGCGTAACTCTCTCAAGGTGACATACTAATGACTTCAAGTATCCCTTGCATAGCAACAACTCCCAATCTCCTGAATTTCAAACTCCAATACTGTATTCCCTCACAGACACTTCCACAAGACACAGAGATTAAACATCACCAAAACCAAGTCCTCTACTTTCCTCAAAAATCTGTGTGGAATTTTTGACCCGCTTATCCAACCACCATCCAAGGTAACATCTGAGAAATAAGATCACTTTTTATAATGGATTTCTCACAGAAATGAAAATAGAATTTTTAAATTTTAATCTTCACAGGTCTACAAATTTTCAAAGGACAAGACGTCTAAATTACTACCCATTACCATTTTACTTAATTTGTAAAATATGAGGGGTCTTCAAAATGTTCATGGAAAATGTGTATTATAAAAAAACTATGCATGAAGTTCAAAATGTTTTGCACTGAAATAAACTCACACTAACTTGTTATAACATGTCTGAATAGGATCTAGTTTAAGGCACTAACATGGTTAAGACATCAGTTTGAAAAGAGCCCCAGTTAGAGCTAAAACTGAAGCAAGAACAAACATCAAATTTATGGTGAAGTGTGAGTGGAAGAATGGTGAATCACGGATACTTTACAATAAGTTTATGAAGTCAATGCCCCAAATAAATCAGCAGTTTACAAATGGATAACTCAGTTTAAGAAGGGATGAGCCATTATTAAAGATGAAGCCCACAGTGGCAGACTGTTCACATCAATTTGTGAGGAAAAAATTCATCTTCTTCATGCCCTAACTGAAGATCAATGATTAACAGCAGAAACAATAGCCAACACCATAGACACCTCAATTGATTCAGGTTACACAATTCTGACTGAAAAATTAAAGTTGAGTAAACGTTCTACTTGATGGATGCCCAACCACTGCTTCCAGATAAGCTGCAGAGAACAGTAGAGCTTTCAACGGAGAGTCTCAACAAGTAGGATCAAGTTCCTAAAGCATTCTTCAAAGAATTATAACAGGAGGTGATGGAATGTGGCTTTACCAGTACAATCCTGAAGACAAAGCAACAGTGAAAGCAACGGCTACCAAGTAATGGAAGTGGTCCAGTCAAAGCAAAAGCAGACCAGATAAGAGCAAAGGTCATGGCAACAGTTGTTTGGGATGCTCAAGGCATTTTGCTTGTTGACTTTCTGGAGGGCTAAAGAATAGTAACAACTGCTTATTATGAGAGTGTTCTGAGAGAGCTAGCCAAAGCATTAGCAGAAAAATGCCCAGGAAACTTTCACTAGAGTCCTTTTCCAACACAACAAATGTTCCTGCTCATCCCTCTCATCAAACAAGGGCCATTTGCAAGAGTTTCTATGGGAAATCATTAGGCATCCACCTTACAGTCCTGATTTGGCTCCTCCTATCTTCTAGTTTCTTAATCTTAAAAAATCTGTAGAGGGCACCCATTTTTACGCTAATAATGTAAAAAAGACTACATTAACATGGTTAAATTCCCAGGACCCTCAGTTTTTTAGGACTGAACTAAATTGCTGGTATCATTGCTCAGAAGAGTCTTCAACTTGATGGAGCTTATGTTGAGAAATACAGTTTATTTTAAATTTTTATCTTTTAATTCCATTTTTCCATGAACTTTCTGAAGTCTTCTTGTACGCAAGAACTAAAATTGATCAATACAACATACCATTTCAAGACAATAAATTATTTTAAAACAATTAAACAAGTAAGCATGAAATAAGATATTTCTATTACATCTTCAAATGTTGCAACTTACTTCAATTTGGCAAGTCTGTCCCTGGTCTGATTAATTTCTTTTGATTTACTATGTAGCCAGTCTTCAAGCTGTTTTTTGTTGGGAAAATATCCCAACAGTGACGTTAATTCATCACTGTGCCTAGATTTTATTTTTCTGATTTGTTCATCTTTGTCAGCCTATAGGTAAAAAAAAAAAATCTTTTAAAAATAAAGTCTATATCTCTACATTATATCAAGAACAAAAATAAATTCTAGATTGACTAAAGTTCTAAGCTTAAAACTATAAAAATATGAAAATAAAATATAAAATTTCTTAAAAGTCTTCAAGTGGGAATGGTCTTTCTAAGCCCTAAGAGTGGAGTACCAAGTCAAACAATATAGAATTTTAAAACTTCTGTTATGTTAAAAGCTAACAGTAATGTTCGTGTGTGTGTGTATATATATATTTCTGTATTAACTTTTTGTAATTAAACAATAACTTTTAAGCTTGAAAGTCTATTATATAGAGTACGAAGCTCACTTAGCCTCTAAAATATAAAGTCAATACCAACTTAATACCTTATGGTCTATGACTTATGAATGCAAGGTAGGCTATTTTAAGTACCAGACAGTAAAATTAGAACAAAAAGAGAAATCATACTTTGTCTTTGGTCAGCATCTCCATCTGGGTACGTGTTGTTGTATGATGGTTTAACTGCTCCATCTCCTGGTCAAGTTTACGCAGGGTCCTGTCTAAGTCTGCTTTTTCATTTTGAAGACTTATTACTTCCATTTTTAAGGTTTCTACATTGCTGTTTTTCTCAGCCTTGCTTAACTCACGTTCCTAGTCAATAATTCATACAAATGCAAAGGTGTTAGATATTTTGTGCAAGAATTAAAATAATGATAAGGTGTATGAGAAATTAACTACTCCTCACAATGTTCCAAATAATATTGTTTGTATCCAACAAGAGAAAAAAACAAGGCACTATATATGCTTTAAGGTAAATCTTATTAAAGTGACCGTACTATGTTATAATGGTAGAGAATTAGTAAATAAACCTAGAAGGGTCAAACAGGAAAGAAAAGTGAGAATTAGTGTACAATTAGGAGACATGTGTCTAAGTATACATATTAGTGAGTCCTCAGTCAACAATTAAGTATTTATTAAGTCCCCATGTAATTCAAGATATTGCCTGGAATGTAGAAACTATAAAAATAGTGTGACGTGGTCCCTGACCAGTATTTCCCCACCCCAACAAGACAACACTGTGAAAAAGTGCTAAATTGACAAAAATGTATGCTACAATGGTAAGTTACGAAGCAAAAATAAATGTTTACATAAATTATCAAGATGGGCTTTAAGAAGTTTGCCATGCTTTAGAATGCTTACTTTGGTGATGGAGATGTGAAGAAAGAGGACAGACTAGAAGCAAGAAAGAAAATTTGGAAATACCTGAAAAGACTGGCTAAGAAAGTTGTTACCACAGAAAAAGTAGTAATACAGCAAAAATCATCTAGAATTACAATGCGTGTGACCTACAGGAAAAATACTTTTTTTTAATAAACTTTGGTAAGTGGTTTTTTTTTTTTTTTTTGAGATGGAGACTTACCCTGTCACCCAGGCTGGAGAGCAGTGGCATGATCTTGGCTCACTGCAACCTCCGCTTCCCAGGTTCAAGCGATTCTTTTGTCCCGGCCTCCCAAGTAGCTGGGACTACAGGTGCGCGCCACCACGCCCAGCTAATTTTTGTATTTTTAGTAGAGATGGGGTTTTGCCATGTTGACCAGCCTGGTCTTGAACTCCTGACCTCAGGTGATCTGCCTGCATTGGCCTCCCAAAGTGCTGGGATTACAGGTGTGAGCCACCGCACTCAGCCTGGTAAGTGTTCTTAACCAAGGTGCTCATAAGAATCACCCAGTTTTGTTGTGTTTTTGAATGTACATTTCTATGCCCCATTCTCAGAGATTTTGATTTGGAAGGTCTGAAGCTTTAAGGTCTGAGTACAGTATCTTTAAAAAGCTCCCTATGTGATTCTAATTTTCAACCTACCAGGTTGTAGAACCAAAGACTCAGAAGATCAAGATATTCAGATGAATTCATTTTACATGAGAATAAGACAAAGTTGATGTTTTTATTAAAATGCCATAATCTTAGTATTAAAAATAGACAAAATACTTCTAAAAGTCTTATATTTTAAAATTATTAGATTATTCAAACAATATCTTACAGCTTTTATGAGCTCCTGGTCCAGTTCAAGAATCCTGTCTGAAGATCCTTCCAACTGCTGTAATTCATACTTCACATTTTTCAGCTCATTCTGCTTCTTATTTAGGATTTCTGATTTTAACTCAATTATTCTTCCCAGTCCAGTTTTCTTATCTCTTATCTCATCTATCTGTTTTTGTTTCAGAGTCTCTTTTTCTGCAAAGTCATTCTAAATGCGTATATAAAGAATGAGCATTAATAATTTATCAAACAATTTAAGAAACAGTTTTTTAATTGCAAAAGGAATATATGTACACTGAAGAAAACACAAAAAAGTACAGTCATGTGTTGTTCAGCAGGGATATATTCCGAGAAATGCATCATTAGGCAATTTTATCATTGTGTGAACATCAGAATGTATTTACATAAGCCTACATGGTATAGCTTACTACACACATAGACTATATGGTATAGCCTATTGTTTCTAGGCTACAAACTTATACGGCATATATCTATACTGAATACTTTGGCAACTGTAACATGATGATAAGTATTTATGTATCTAAACATATCTAAACACAGAAAACATACAGTAAAATACAGTAATATGATTTTATGGGACTACTGTCAAATATGTGGTCCATCACTGACCAAAACATGTGGTTCAAGACTTTATTTTAAAAACTATCAAAACCATTACCCAGAGATAATCATTAACTATGAGCAAATGTTTTCTCTGCAATTAGCTTTTAAAAATTTTTTACTTAAAACCAAATTAAAAATGTAGATTTACATTTTCTTCATATTTTTATCCTTATACACTTTAGAACATTTGCTTCAATAAAGGTTTCTCTGCCTTGTAGCAGATTTTATGCTAACACTAATAGAAAAATATGCCAAAATAGAGTCCAACCAAAAATTAAAACAATTCAAGTAGAGAATATGACGCAAACAAAATAAGAAACACTATATTTCAAAATACTTGCCATCAGTTGGTTGGTAGTTTTTGCTTCCCCTTCTTGTCTCTCTTTCACAAGTTTGTGAAAATTTTTAATCTGTCTGTCACTGAAGGGTCCACGCTCAAAGCCATCCAATTCTAGCTGTGTTGCCAAAGACTGAATTAATGAATCTCTAGCTCGGATATGTTCTTGATGGCGATCTGCTTGTAGCTGCAGACGACCTTTAAAAAAAAAAAAACCTCATAATTTTTATTTTTAAACTGGTGCTTAAAAAGTTGAGATAGTTGTAGATTCACGAGTTATAAAAAATAATGCAGTGTGTTCTCTTGTACATTTTGCCCAGTTTCCCCCAATGATAACATTTTGCAGAACTGCACTATAATATCACAACCAGAATACTGACATTGATATAATTCATCAATCTTATTCAAAAGTCCCCGATTTTATTTGTACCCCTGTGCATGTGTTTGTGTGTTTATTAAGTTCTATATAATTTTATCACCTGAGTAGGTTCATATATCCACTATGGCAGTCAAGGTACTGAACAGTTTCAACACTACCAGAACCCTCTTTTTGTTCTAATCATAACCATACCTATCTCCCTCCTGTCCCTTCTCTTACCTAGTATCCCTGGCAACTACTAATTTCTCCACCATTTCTAAAATTTTGACATTACAAAAATGTTATATAAATGGAAACATACTGTGCATAGCCTTTTAAGATTGGCTTTTCACTCAGCATAAGTCCTTGAAGATTCTTCATTCATACAGAAAATGTGTAATATCATAGTAGGAAAAACAACCAAATAAACATTTTGTCCTACCCTGTTCAACAAGCAGTTCTGATTTTTCTTGATTGAGAAGCCTAGATTCTTTATTTAATTTTTCCAGTTCACGATGACAGTCTACCAATTTCCTTTCTTTCTCCCTTACTGTTCTCTGGTGATTGTGATATAAATCATTTAGTTGCTCATCAGTCCCTTGAAAAACCTGTGTAACACCAAAATAAAAAGCTTTAATATACAAACATAAGAAAATATGATCACTTTGAGGTGCCAAATAGAAATCAAACTGTATTCAATATCTTTCATTTCAACATATACATAGAAGTAACCAGATCTGTATTTTTTTCCAATGTGGATGGCAAAATTGATTCAAATAAAGTTCATTACAATAATCCTAAAATTTTGAAGCAGAACAAAATTCTACCACCACAAACCTTTTCCATTTTCTCTTCGAGTTCACTATTATCTTTCTCCATTTGCTTCTTTCGGCTATCCAAGGCTTTAATTTCATTGTCAAGTTTCATTATTTTAGAGAGATTATGTTCAATTTCTTTTAGACGATTCTGAAAATAAAGAAACACCACATAAATAAAACTCACTATAGCTTACATGGCTGATAGATGAAGACAAATAAGATAATCCAGGTCCAGGCATTTAGTAAAAGTGATCTAATTTAATGCTAACAATAACATTGTAGAGCGGGTCTAGAGAAACTGAAGTTCAGAGACATTAAGTAACTTAGCCCAAGTCCTTATAGCTAGTAGAGAGAAGTAGGAATTCAATTCCACTTCTAACTCCGAACACCATGCCCTGTCCTCAACCTCCCACAAAAGTCATTCATTCACTGGGCAGTTAGAGTTACAATACATAAAGCAGCACATTTTAAGAACTTAATCCTTAAAAGGCTAATTATTTAATGTATTTTTGTTTTTAAGTCAGGACTACTGAGAGGGCTAGAAATTCATGGTGAGTTACCAATGCATTCTGAGCCTGCAGGCAAATTTACATGAAGAATATACTTTAATCCAAAGCTTGCTCAACCACAGAGGACTCTGAGCAAGTAAAGTACAACAAACGAGCTCAGTGGCCTGCTCTGAGGCTCACTTCCAGAGACAGCTGGCTGCCTCATCTCCTAGGAATGAATACTGGGATCTGGTTCGGGGCATTCTCTTATTGGATGATGCTGGGAATATTCTTCTAGCGTTTGCCTCTATGATTCCAAAACTGACCAACTCTTCTTCTAACACATTTTTAGAACCTACTTTTATTATTATTATTTTAAATGCAGAGACAAGGTCTTGCTATGTGGCCCTGGCTGGGGTGGCTATTCACAGGTGCAATAACAGTGCAATACAATTTGAACTCCTGGGCTCAAGTGTTCCTCCCACCTCAGCCTCCAAGTAACTGGGACTATAAGTATGCACCACCATGCCCACCAGGACCTAATTTTAAACTAACATATTAAGTTACTGGAATGCTCAGACAGCAATTGCAAACTTTCATAATTGTACCAAAATGCATCCTTAACTTTAACATAATTTACTAAAATTATACTAATAGCATACCTTGTGATTTGCATATGAATGCAAACGGCCTAAAATCAGAAACTTTGTTTACTTTGTTCCCTAATGTATCCCCAGAACATGCAATAGGTGTTCAATGTTAGCTAAATGAAAGAGAGATTTGAAAAAAATAATTTTACCAAGAACAGTCACAGGTATCACTGATTGAATGTCTGCTATGTTCCAGGCATTGTACTAGGTGCTGCTATAAATTCTCTAATCCTCACAAAAGCATATACTAAGCAGGAGACTAAAAGGACTTAACTGACTTGTACAAAAATGTATTATAAACTATAAAACATTGAAGAACATTTTTGTGGCACTGGGTCAGACAAAGACTTCCCCTAAATATGAAAAAAAAAAAGCTTAAACCATTAAGTGAAAACAGTTGATAAACTGTACCTCATCAAAATTTAAAACTCCTGTCCTCTGAAAAGCAGTTAAGAAATATCTGCAAAACCAATATCTGATAAAGGGCTAATATCCAGAACATACTTAGAACTCTCTGCCCAGCACTGTAGCTCACACCTGTAATCTCAGCACTTTGGGAGACTGAGGCAGGCTGATCGCTTGAGCCCAGAAGTTTGAGACCAGTCTGGGTAACCTGGTGAGATCTTGCCTCTACAAAAAATTAAAAAACATTAGCTGGATGTGGTGGTGTGTGCCTGAAGTCCCAGCTACTCAGGAGGCTGAGGTGGAAGGATCACTTGAGCCTGGGAGTCAGAGGATGCAGTGAGCCAAGATCACACCACTGCACTCTGGCCTGGGTGAGAGAGGGAGACCTTGTCTCAAAAAAAAAAAAAAAAAAAAAAAAACTCTCACAGCTCAATAATAAGACCAATAAATACATAAAATTGAAAAATAGGCAAAAGATTTTTACATTTTACTAACAAAGATATTCAGATGGCAAATAAATACATGAAAAGATGCCCAAAATCAGTAATTAATTGACTAACTGATCAACTAGGAAAACACAAATTAAAAAATATAAAGAAATACAACTTCACAATGAGATACTATCACACATCTACTATTATGGCTAAAATGAAAAAGATTGACAGTACTAAGTGTGGATGAGAATGCAGAGCAATTACATTCTCATAAATTATTGGTAAATTGTTGGTAGGACTACAAAGTGGTACCAGATGGTACAGCTAAAGTATACGTTAAACATATATTTACCATACAACCTAGCAACCCCATTCCTAAAGTTATCCAAAGACCTGTATACAAAAGTTTATAGCAGTTTTATCTGTAACAGCCCAAAGCCGAAAACAACTTAATGTCCATCAGCCATGGAGTGGATGAGGAAAAAAATTATAATATATGCATACAATGGAAGGAATGCTCCTCAGCAATAAAAAGGAATGAATGCTGGGGCACAGTGGCTCACGCCTGTAATCCTAGAACTTTGGGAGGCTAAGGTGGGCGGATCACCTGAGGTTGGGAGTTTGAGACCAGCCTGACTAACGTAGAGAAACTCTGTCTCTACTAAAAACACACACAAAAAATGAGCTGGGTGTGGTGGCGCATGCCTGTAATCCCAGCTACTCGGGAGGCTGAGGTAGGTGAATTGCCTGAATCTGGGAGGCAGAGGTTGTGGTGAGCCAAGATCACACCATTGCACTCTAGCCTGGGCAACAAGAGTGAAACTCCATCTCAAAAAAAGAATGAATTACTCACACATGCAGCAACACAGATAAATCCCAGACACAAAAGTCTGCATACTCTATGATTCTATATATGTACCACTCTTTGGAAAAGGCAAAACTATAATGACAGAAAACAAATTAGTGGCTACTATGGATGGGAGCAGGGGGAGAGGACTGACTGCAAGGACTTTGAGAGAACTTTTTGGGGAGACTAAAATATTCTACATCTTCATTGTAGTGCTGGTTATGCTACCGCATGCATATGTCTTAACTCATAGAATTTATACTCTAAAAAGTGTGGGTTTTACCATATATATATTACACCTTAATAAACTTGACTTAAAAAGAAAAAACAAGTATAAACTTAGGAATTAAAGGACTCAAATCCTACCTTTAACCCTTATTTCCACCATGAACACCTGTGCCTCAGTTTTCTTGCCAATACAAACTCACAGAGTTACTATGGGGTTTACATCATACATTGTAAAGCACTTGGATTAGTGTTAGGCAGTAAACAGTGAATGAGACCATTTGCACTACTTGTGAAAACACTTCTGTACTCAGAAAATACCTTCTGAGTAGAGTCTGACAAAGACAACTGGATGGATACTTAAGAGCAATGAATATTAACAGCTCCATTATGATAATCTACAAAGTGCTCAGTTTCTTTCCATCAGTGTTTTCACCGCCTCTTGGTAGCACAAACATTATGACAATCATCTGGGCTTGGATCTTTCATGACATCTCTACCTGCTTCATTCCTTAAATCCAGTCAGTCACCAGATCCCCTGAATTCCTTCTTCGACATCTGTGTTTTGGTTCTAATCTCAGAGCACAAAACATAGGTTCTATCCCCAAAGTACATACCTAGTAAAAGGAGCTAGGACAAGCAGGCAGACAACAACAACAAAAACAGCCAAGTGTTTAAAGCTTAGGTGCCAGTGTGAAATGAGTTTAAAAAAATAGAGCAGCTGGGCTATCAAGTATAGAAGGACCATGAACTTGTGTATGGAAAAAAAATACAATTAGAAACGTATTCCTCTAGCAATTCCCATTTAAGGCAAGAAAGGAAAACAGATCTAAATAGGGCAAAAAAAGAGGACAGGATATGTGGGATGGTAATAAAGTAGTTTATAAGAGAGTGAGAGTTCCTGAAGATGAAGGGAATCAGTAAAAATGGGAAAGGATGCATTCTAGTGCATGGTTGAAAGGAAGTAGTCTTTTCTGGGAAGGTGATTTGACCCAAACTTTAATTGGGTTCTCTGAAGGGAAGAATCTTCACATGTCAGAGCTAAAAAAGGACTCTGGAAGTCATCTACTTAATAAACATTTACTGAACCACCTGCTACGTGCCAGGCACTAGGCTAGGCTCTGAGGAAACAGAGAAGAGTATGAAACCCTTGGAGAATTACTCACAATTAAACACAAACAAGTACATAAATACCTCAACCTCTGCTACGGCCTTGGTTAGAATCTTGGCACCACTCACTAAATCTTAGGTATTATCATTTAGCCCTACCTTGACATCATTTCCAATAAAAATGCTTCATTTCAACAACATGGATTTCCTTGACAGTGTTCAAAGACAGCTTGGATTTTACTGTCTCTGTCTCCAATGACCTACTCATTTATGATCAAAAAAGTCATGGCCAAATTTAGTCCTATGAAATCCTCTCTGGCTACCTCAGACAGAAATTCTCTTTCTTTATCCTCAGAGCTCCTACAGGTCTTGTTTTTTTTCTGCTTTACCATTACACGTGCTTGTCATCTCTCCAACCAAGATACTCCTCAAGAAAATAAAATGTGGAGTGGGGCAACGGGGAAAGAAGAAAAAAAAAAAAGGAAATCTTTTCCATTATCTTGGTAATTACCACGGTGCTCACACAGAGTTACCAGGACAACTCATCCTAAAATATAACATACTCTTCCACTCTTCTGTCTATTGAACTAAGTCTGAAATCCATTAGCTTTCTATAATCTGACCCCGATTCATATTGATCATTTACTCCTTTTATATTGATTTACTTAACCCAGACTTTTTCTCTCACAATTCTGTTCTGATTAAGCTTGTACAGGTAAATATACACATACATACAAGTGAATGTTTGTATACACATATGTATAGTATATATGCAGTTTAAAAAAGCCACAAGTAGAATATACTCTGGAAGGTCAGAGATGAGGAATGGAAGACTATCTTTTACTTTTCACCTAATATCCTTTTATAACTTTTTCACTGGGAGCACATATTACTTTTAAAAGAAAAGTCAAAATAAATACGAACATTTCCGGGCACAGTGGCTCATGCCTGTAATCCCAGCACTTTGGGAGGCCGAGGCGGGCAGATCACTTGAGGTCGGGAGTTCGAGACCAGCCTGACCAAAAATGGAGAAACCCTGTCTCTACTAAAAATACAAAAAGTTAGCTGGGCGTGGTGGCGCATGCCTGTAATCCCAGCTACCCCGGAGGCTGAGGCAGGAGAATTGCTTGAACCCAGGAGGCGGAGGTTGCAGTGAGCCGAGATCGTACCACTGCACTCCAGCCTGGGCAACAAGAGCAAAACTCCATCTCAAAAAAAAAAAGAAAGATAAATAAATAAATACAAACATACATACATAAAATGTCTTCTACTTTGCTGACTTGATTTCTTCCCATTCTTCAATACCCACCTCAGCCCTACCTCCTCCCAGAAGCCCTTGCAATATATTTCTATACATGGCCATCTTAAAAATATATATATTTTCTACTTCACAATTCAAAGATCTATACCGGTATTTACAAGTGAGTTTTTAAAAATCAAATCAATACCTTCTTAAATGACTTAAAAAAATCTACTATCTAAAATGTAGAAAATAGCCATTTTTAAGAATGCTCTTACTTAGACTAGGAATACCTTAAGGACAGGGGGGTGCTGTTGTAGTCCTCTTTGTACCCAAGCACAGTATACCTTGACACAAAGAAGACACCCAATAAATGCTTATTAAATGAATAAATGGAATTTCCTGTAGGCCTTTCTTATAAATCATGGGGTTTAGACAGGTATACTCATTTGCAAATATATCAACATGTTATGGATCAATTCCAAATTCTGTACAATTTTTGAATGTTTCAAAAACATTCTGCAAATTTTAAAAATTCTCTAGAAAGGTCAATTTAAAAAAATCTTAATACAGAACTATAGGGCTGGGTAATGATATTGCTATTTAACACCTAGTGATCTACACTACTAATTTAGTGTGATGCTACAAATTTGTTTTCTTTCAAATCCAAGCTCTTTGAGCAATTTAAAGCCTAATATAGACCTAAAACATTAGCTCACTGATAATTTGAGAAATATACAAGCCATTCAGTTTCATATACAAATAAGGGGAGAATGCTACCATAGTAAAAAAAAAAAAAAAAAAAAAAAAAAGGACTACCTCTTTAGTATACAAGAAATTAACTACTGTATATCACTGTGACTTTAGTTAATAACAATACATAATTGCTAAGAGGGTAGATTTTAAGTGTTCTCATCATTAAAAATAAATGAAATAATTTAATGCACGTTAATAGCTTGATTTAGCCATTCCACAATGTATACTTATATCAAAACATCATGCTGTATGCCACAAAGATACACAATTTTTGTCAATTAAAAATAAAATCAAGTTACCTTCAATGGATCAAGTTCATTCTCATAGGATTTGACAATTTCCTTTGAAGATGTTAACTGGGCTTCCTTACTTGTAATCTGATCACGAATCTCACAAGCTTTTTCCTTATATTGCTTCAGATATTTTAGTTCCATTTGATATTCTTTTACTTTCTGACCTTGTGTCTGACGTACCTGCCGAAGTGTTTCCAAGGCTTTAATGTATCTTTGAAGACACGAAACAAAAATCAAATTTCTGGCAAAGTAAATTATGGTATATATTCATACAGTGGGATATTATGCTGTCACTAAGGTTACAGTTACAATGAGTTTCTAGTAACTTGGAAAATGCCTATGACATGGTAAGTGAAAAAAATTACATTGATACTGTCAATCAGGTATATAAATATATGCACAGAAAGACAAGTGAAAGAAAATATGCCCAATGGTTGCTGCTGGGTGAGAGGTAGTAACTGATGACCTTTCTGCTTTTTAAATTATTTCTGTTAAAAAGAAGCATCCAAATTGCAAACACGGTTCAATAACTTAATGGACTACAAAGTCTATTTAAGGGTTACAAACCTTGTTGCTGAAAAAATCTCATCAAACTTTTGCTTCAAAGCCTTTCCTTCACTTAAAGGCCAATTAGAATCTTCTTGATGACAGAAAATGACGTTATTTAGCACAGCCTTGGAAACCCCAAGAGAACTGATCATTTCTCGGTCAATTTCTGCACACTTAGAGCTTAGACTGACCTTTTCACCATGCCTACAGAAAATGAAAATCAAGAACATATGTAAAATAACCTTCAGTGTATCTACTCTATTGCTTAATCAGTTCATACTGTAATTCTAAAAAAAAAAAAAAAAAGACCCTTCACCTATCCCGTTAGAAATGGTTTCATCATGCTAAAAAGTGTAACTCTGAAACTATTTAGCACTTCACAGATGAAAAGATATGTAAAACATAGTAGTTCAGGAAAGGAAGCCAGAATTTATTTTTTACATATTACAGACTGCTTTGGTGAGCAGAGGCAGTATCTGTCTTTACTGTTTTTCATACATTTCATTTTGTATTTTGAAAATATTACACTGGGCCAGGCACAGTGGCTCATGTCTATAACCCCAGCAATTTGGGAGGCCAAGGTGGGCGGACCACCTGAGGTCAGGAGTTCGAGACCAGCTGGACTAATACAGTGAAACCTTGTCTCTATTAAAAATACAAAAAAAATTAGCCAGGTGTGGTGGTGGGCACCAGCTCCTCAGGAGGCTGAGGTAAGAGAATCACTTGAACCTGGGGGAGGTGGAGGTTGCAGTGAGCTGACATCGCACCATTGCACTCCAGCCAGGGAAACAAGAGTGAAACTCTGTCTCAAAAAAAAAAAAAAAAAAAAAAAAAAAAATTACACTGAATATATTAAGAATGCTTTGTAGAGGGCTCGAATGGACACAGATACATCAATAGGTTATCACATTAGGTCATGGAAAGACAATGGTAGCTTGGACTAGGACTAGAATGGTTGTTGTCGAGGTGGAAACAGATTCAAGAGACATTTAGATTCCATTTTGGTCTTAGTAATAGACTGGATATGGAAGGCAAGGACAGTATCAAGACTTAGGTTCTTGGTTTTTGTCACTGGATGGATAGTGGTGTCATTCACCAAGCTGAGGTATACCATAAGACCAAGTTGTTGGAGGTTTTTTAAGGGGGGAGGTCAAAGAGAAAGGACTGAGAGTTTGGTTTTGGAAACGTTGAATCTAAGTTGTCTCTGGAACAACTGGTAAAAAATCAGAGATGGGGCCGGGTGTGGTGGCTCACGCCTGTAATCCCAGCACTTTGGGAGTCTGAGGCGGGTGGATCATGTGGTCAAGAGATCAGAGCACTCTGGCTAACATGGTGAAACCCCGTCTCTAATAAAAGTACAAAAATTAGCTGGGCGTGGTGGCACACACCTGTAGTCCCAGCTACTTGGGAGGCTGAGGCACGAGAATTGCTTGAACCCGGGAGGCGGAGGTTGCAGTGAGCTGAGATTTCACCACTGCACTCCAGCCTGGGTGACAGAGCGAGACTCCATCTCAAAAAAAAAAAAAATCAGAGATGGGTAAATAGGTCTGGGTAAATGGGTCTGGAAACAGAGGTCTGGTTTGGAGATATAAATCTGTGAGTCATCTATGAACACAGAGTAGTTCGAACAATGGATAAGAATGTGATTACCTAGGAAGAAAATACAGAGCAAAAAAAAGGAGAAGATATAGGACTGAGCCTAATGAGACTTCCAACCTTTATTGATGGGGTGAATGAAGTAGTATGTGGCTGTGATAGAGAGAACAGTGTTGTATCATGGAGGTCTAGAAAAAGAAATTTTCAAATAAGAAGTGATAAACTAGTGTTTACTCAGCTATGGTATATGGAACAATGGTTCTCCAAGATGCCCACATTTTAATTCCTTCAATTTGTGAATGTTACATTGCACAGCAAAAGAGAATTAAGATTACAGATGGAATTAGGGTGTTAATCATTTGACCTTAAAATAGATTATCCTGGATTATTTAGATGGGGCAAATGTAATCATATGGGTTATTTAATGTGAGAGAGGAAGGCAGAAGAAGAGAGAAGAGGTCACAGTGATTTGATACGAGAAGAACTATACCCACTATTGCTTGCTCTGAAGACAGAGTAAGAGGGCATGAGCTAAAAAACATAGGTGGCCTCTAAAAGATGGAAAGAACAAGGAAACATATTCTCCCTCAGAGACTCCAGAAAGGAACGTAACCTGCTAAAATTTTGATTTTAGCCCAGTGAGACCTAATTCAGACTACTAAACTACGTAAGTGTAAGATAATGTATTTGTATTGTTTATGCCACTAAGTTTGTGGTTTGTTATAGCAGTCACAGAAGATTAATACATGAACTCTTACTACATATTAAGCATTTTATACGCATTAGCTCAACCTTGACAACATCTTTCTAAGCTACGTACAGTGATAATGAATGCCTATTTTACAAATGAAATAAACAGAGGCTCACTCTTAGGTCTACTTTGTATAGCAGTAGCATTACCCTAATTAAAAACAGAGTTATTAGTAACTTTAGTCAGAGGTGTTTCAAAGGACGATGTGACTACAGTTAGAGTGAAGAGGAAGTGAAGAAATGGAGACAGTATCAACAACTCTTTTGAGAAGACTGGCTATAAAGGGGAAGAAGGAGACAGGTAGTAATTGGAGTGGAACGAAATCCCAGGGTATAAGAGATACTTGAGTGTGTTAAAATGGCAATGATGAAAACCTGCTTGAGAAGCCAGTATAGTGCCTCTAGCACATAGTAGATGTGCATTATTGGTTAAATAAAGGAATTACTTATTAGTTAAAAGGGAGGAGAAGTAGTTGAACAGTCAAGTAATCTGCTCAACAAAGTCAGAGACTTCAATCTAAGGCAGTCTAATCCCTAAATCCATTAGAAAATGATACCTGCCTCTAACAGAATGATAATGGTTGAAAGGAACAATTTATCATTCTTTCCTACTTGTTTGCTTCTCATCTCAACCATTCTTAAGCACGACACTAGAATTTTTTACTCATTCAACCTGTATTTGAGTGATTATGCGTTTTCAATTCAGCAACTGTTCAGAAATTACTCAAGAGAATGGAACATAACCCTAAGTCTTTAATGGGACCATTCTATTTAATTGACAAATAGTATACATAAAAAATCAAATGTTGATAATGGAGGAGGGTGTGTTTGTGTGTAGGGGTAGGGAGAAAATGGAAGCTCAGTACTTTCTGCCCAATTTTGCTGTAAGCCCAAAACTGCTCTAAAAAAACAAAGTCTAAAGTCTATTGAAAAAAATTTAATATGCTCCCCTAAACTTAAAGTAGTAGTAAACAACCACCAACTTACAAACCTGAAAATAAACAGAAATTCAAATATCACATAAACACTTACTTTGTTCTAGTAATGACTCCTTCCAAAGTTTTAAATTCTGTCTTTTTGCTTTTCTGAGTACACACCATAGATCTTTGTACAGCTATAAGTTCTCCATTGACATCACGAAATTGCAGACGAATCTGGGCTCTCACATCTGTTTCTTGAGCAACCTTTGAAGGAAAACAGAGAAAAAACTTATGTTACTTTAATAAGCACCACTGTTGGTTCTGAGAGAACAGGCATAAGCAATCTTACCCAGAATGAGGGAACAAAAAGAAAAACACCCAAAAGGAGTGACATTTTTACATGCTATCCAAAATATAGAAGAATACTGTTTAATTAATTTATAAAAATGATATATTATCTACCTCCTTTATTCAGCATCATTAGGAGATAAGGCATGCAGATTTTTCAAATAAATGCACTTTATCTCTGTAAGCATCAAAAATGTTTTTTATCATTAAAAATCACAAATTTATAGAAAGGTAGAATGATTCGGTTTGGCTCTGTCTCCACCCAAATCTCATCTTAAATTTCCATATGTTGCAGGAAGGATCTGGTGGAAGGTAACTGAATCACGGGGACAGGTCTTTTCCATGCTGTTCTTGTGACAGTAAGTCTCACAAGACCTGATGGTTTTATAAGAAGGAGTTTCCCTGCACAAGCTCTCTTTGCTGCTGCTGTCCATGTAAGATGTGACTTCCGCCTCCTTGCCTTCCACCATGATTGTGTGGCCTCCCAAGCCACATGAAACTGTAAGTCCATTAAACCTCTTTATTTTGTAAATTGTCTAGCCTCAGGCATATCTTTATTAGCAGTGTGAAGACGGACTCATACAGTAAATTGGTACCAGGAGTGGAGCGCTGCTGAAAAGTTACCCAAAAATGTGGAAGCAACCTTGGAACTGGGTAACAGGCAGATGATGGAACAGTTTGGACGGCTCAGAAGACAGGAAAATGTGGGAAAGTTTGGAACTCCCTAGAGACTTGTTTAATGGCTTTGACCAAAATGCTGATAAGGATATGGACAATGAAATCCAGGCTGAGGTGGTCTCAGATGGAGATGAGGAACTTGTTGGAAACTGGAGCAAAGGTGACTTTTGTTATGCTTTAGCAAAGGAACTGGCGGCATTTTGCCCTTGCCCTAGAAATGTGTGGAACTTGGAACCAGTGAGATGATTTAGGGTATCTGGTGAAAGAAATTTCTAAGCAGTAAAGCATTCAAGAGGTGACTTGGGTGCTGTTAAAGGGATTCAGTATTAAAAGGGAAACAGCATAAAAGTTTGGAAAGTTTGCAGCCTGACAATGCGATTAAAAAAAAAATCCCATTTTCTGAGGAGAAATTCAAGCCAGGGGCAGAAATTTGCATAAGTAAAGAGGAAACAAATGTTAATTACCAACACAATAAGCAAAATGTCTCCAGGGGCATGTCAGAGACCTTTGTGACAGGCCCCCCCCCCCCCTCCCCGGCCCCGGGGGTTAGGAGGAAAAAAAAGTTTTGTAGGTCAGGCCCAGGGTCCCTCTGCTGTGTGCAGTCTAGGGACTTGGTGCCCTGTGTCCCAGCCGTGACCAAAACAAGCCAAAGTACAGCTTGGGCTGTTGCTTCAAAGGGTGGAAGCCCCAAGCCTTGGCAGCTTCCATGTGGTGTTGAGCCTGCAGGTGCACAGAAGTCAAGAACTGAGGTTTGGGAACCTGTACCTAGATTTCAGAGGATGTATGGAAACACCTGGATGCCCAGGCAGAAATTTGCAGCAGGGGCAGGGTCCTCATGGAAAACCTCTGTTAGGGCAGCATGGAAGGGAAATGTAGGGTTGGAACCCCCACAGAGTTCCTATGGAGGGGACTGCCTAGTGGAGCTGTGAGAAGACAGCCACTGTCTTCCAGACTGGTAGATCCCCCAGAATAATAGATCCACTGACAGCTTGCACTGTGCACCTGGAAAAGCCGCAGACACTCAACACCAGCCCGTGAAAACAGCCAGGAAGGAGGCTATACCCTGCAAAGCCACAGGAGCGGAGCTGCCCAAGGCTGTGGGAGCCCACCTCTTGCATCAGAGTGACCTGGATGTGAGACACGGAGTCAAAGGAGATCATTTTGGAGCTTTAAGATATGCCTGCCTCACTGAATTTCAGACTTGCATGGGGCCTGTAGCCCCTTTGTTTTGGCCAATTTCTCCCATTTGGAATGGCTGTATTTACCCAATGCCTGTACCCCCATTGTATCTAAGAAGTAACTAACTTGCTTTTGAGTTTATAGACTCATAGGCAGAAGGGATGTGCTTTGTTTTGGATAAGACTCTGGACTGTGGACTTCTGAGTTAACGCTGAAATAAGACTTTGGGGGACCGTTGGGAAGGCATGATTGGTTTTGAAATGTGAGGACATGAGTTTGGGAGGGGCCAGGGATGGAATGATATGGTTTGGCTGTGTCCCCACTCAAATCTCATCTTGAATTCCCATGTGTTGTGGGAGAAACCAGGTGGGAGATAATTGAATCACGGGGGCAGGTCCTTCCCTGTTCTTGTGATAGTAAGTCTCATGAGATCTGAAGGTTATTATAAGGGGGAATTTTCCTGCACAAGCTCTCTTCTTGTTTGCCACCATGTAAGACATGTCTTTCACCTTCCACCATGATTGTGAGGCCTCCCCAGCCACATGGAACTGTAAGTCCATTAAACCTCTTTCTTTTGTAAATTGCCCAGTCTTGGGTATGTCTTTACTAGCAGCATGAAAATGGACTAATACATAGAACTACAGTATAAACAGCTTTCCTGCCCCCCAAACCACACGAGAGTAAGTTGCTGATCTGACGTCCCAACACCAGTATTTCCTACAAAATAAGGACATTTTCAACCACAAAAATCAGGAAACTGATACTGATATATTACTACCACATGGTCCACAAATCCCATTCAAGTTTTGCCAGTTGTTCCAATATGTGATAAGTTACCTTTAACTCAGCTGTGGCACGTAAAATAATGGTTCTCCAAAGACGTCCATATTCTAATCCCTTGAATTTGTGAACGTTACATTACACAGCAAAAGAGAATTAACATTACAGATGGAACTGGGGTGTCAATCACTTGACTTTAAAATAGAAAGATTATCCTGGATTATTTGAATGAGGCGAAGTATCCACAAAAAATTAGATGCTGACAGTAGAGGAGGCTGTGTATACATGCAGGGAATATACAGAAACTGTACTTTCTGCTCGATTTTGCTATAAACCCAAAGCTGACCTACAAAACAAAGTTTAAAGTCTGTTGAAAAAAATTTAATATGCCCCCTTAAACTGAAAGTAGTAGAAAATGATCATCATCTTACAAGACCTAAAAGACCAACAATGAACAGACATTCAAACATCATATAAACACCTATTTTTTCTGATGTTTTCTGTCTTATATTAATACGGTCACTTCAGCATTCTTTTCATTAGTTGGCACAGTATATTTTTTTCCATCCTTTTGTCTTTAACCCATCTGTACTATTATATATAAAAACACTGTTATTCCTTTTACTCTATTTAGGGTTTTTTGGTTATTGCCCTCCATCTTTCTCATGTTATGTTTTTATTTTTATGTTTTTATTTATATCTATGAAGATAGTTGTAAGATTTATAATAAGATTTTAAGGTTCTTATCTACTAATTCTATCATCTATTCATCTCTAGGGTAGTTTTGTGGGTGCCTTCCTCACTCAGTCCTACCTAATGGCTTTTGGACTGAATTAATCAGGAATGAATAACTATTCCTCCGTTAGTTATGCTGAGAGTTTTTGTCATGAATATTACATTGAAATGCTTTTTCTGTATCTATTGATGCTCATATAATTTTTCTTCTTTATTATGTTAATGTGGCAAATTACACTGATTGGCTTTTTCTTTTTCTACTGCCTAATTCATTTGTCCCAGTATGTGCTTTACAGCAAAAGGATCCAGTTCAGAATTACATTTTGTATTTGATGGTTATGTCTCTTTACTTTCTTTCAGCCTGAAACAGTTGCTCAGATTTTCCTTGACTTTCATGACTGATAATTTTGAAAAGTACAGACCATTATTTTGTAGAACACCTCCCAAAATTTGTGTAATATTTCCTCATGACTAAAATCAGGTTATGTATCTTTGGCAGGAATATTATACAAGTGATGATGAGTTCCTTTTTCTGCATCTCATCAGATAGGACATCATTTCCATTTATCTCATTACTGAGGGTATTAACTTCAATCCATTTATTTATTTATTTTTTTGAGACAGGGTCTCACTTTGTCACTCAGGCTGGAGTGCAGTCACCTCACTGCATCCACGAACTCCAAGTCCTAAGCGATCCTTCTGCCTCAGTCCTCCAAGTAGCTGGGACTATAGGTGCATGCCACCACATCCCGCCAATTTTTGTAGTTTTTGTAGAGATGTGGTTTCACCATGTTGCCTAGACTAACTTCAATCTCTTTATCAACAGACAGGGGGATGGCAGGTCAGTAAAGCAGTCAGAATACACACATTTATGGATTTAGTTCACCTCTTATATGTGGATGGTTTGTGGCACACTAAAACAATTAGGGTAGTAACATCAAAGATCACTGATCACAAATCACTATAACAGATACAATAATAATGAAAAAGTTTGAAATGTTGTGAGAATTACCAAAATGTGACACAGAGACACAAAGTGAGCACATGCTGTTGGAAAAATGGCGCCAATAGACTTGTTAGATGCAGAGTTACCACACACCTCTGAAGAGCACAATAAGATGGGGTATGCCTGTATTTGATAGCTATCATAATAATTTATTCAGGTAAGAAACAGTAGATGCTAAAACTAATGGAAGAAAGTTCGATGAAGTATGGGATAGTTATATGATCTCTGCATCTCTCCCTCATATTATTAAGTAATTGTAAAGTAAGAAAAATTTCTTAGTGGAGAAGCTATTAATTCCTGAATAGTTCAGTCCAATTTATTGACACTTGTTTTATGGTCCAGAATGTTGGACTATCTTGGAGAATGTTCCACATGCACTTGAAAATAACGTGTATTCTGCTGTTGTTCAACGGAATGTCCTATAAATGTCAATCAGGTTGATTTGGTTAACAGTGTTGTTAAAATTTTCCATATACTTACTGACATTTCATCTGCTTCTTCTGTTTCTCTATTGAGACGGGTATTGAGATCTCCAGCT